AAAGAGACATGAGGACAGAGAGAGAGACGCAAGGAGAGAGAGAGAGATGCGAGGAGAGAGAGACGTGAGGACAGAGAGAGAGATGCGAGAGAGACGTGAGGACAGAGAGAGACGCAAGGAGAGAGAGAGACGCGAGGAGAGAGACGTGAGGACAGAGAGAGAGACGCAATGACAGAGAGAGACGCGAGGACAGAGAGAGACGCGAGGACAGAGAGAGACGCGAGGACAGAGAGAGACTCGAGGACAGAGAGAGACGCGCGGACAGAGAGAGAGACGCGAGGACAGAGAGAGACGCGAGGACAGAGAGAGAGACGCGAGGACAGAGAGAGAGAGACGCGAGGACAGAGAGAGAGAGACGCGAGGACAGAGAGAGAGACGCGAAGACAGAGAGACGCAAGGACAGAGAGACGCGAGGACAAAGAGAGAGAGACGCGAAGACAGAGAGACGCAAGGACAGAGAGACGCGAGGACAAAGAGAGAGAGACGCGAGGACAGAGAGAGAGAGACGCGAGGACAGAGAGAGAGACGCGAAGACAGAGAGACGCAAGGACAGAGAGACGCAAGGACAGAGAGACGCGAAGACAAAGAGAAAGAGACGCGAGGACAGAGAGACCCAAGGACAGAGAGAGAGACTTTACGAGAGAGCAAAAGATGCAAGCACAGAGAGAGAGACGCGAGCACAGAGAGAGACGTGAGGACAGAGAGACGTGAGGACAGAGAGACCCAAGGACAGAGAGAGAGAGAGACGTGAGAACAGAGAGAGAGACATGAGGACAGAGCGAGAGATGCGAGGACAGAGATAGAGATGCAAGGACAGAGAGAGAGACGTGAGGACAGAGAGACGTGAGGACAGAGAGACGTGAGGACAGAGAGACGTGAGGACAGAGAGACGTGAGGACAGAGAGACGTTAGGACAGAGAGAGAGATGTGAGGACAGAGAGAGAGATGTGAGGACAGAGAGACGTGAGGACAGAGAGAGAGACGCGACCTTGCTTGTGCACCTCAGTTCAGGTAAAACGAGTGACCCGTCACCCGCGTGGTCCTGAATGTACAGAAGTGTTTGCCGATCATATTTCACTGTGGCAAGTGAATCCCAGACGAAAAACAACAAAATACAGATTGTGGGCACCGGAGCGTTCACTGCGGCGCCCTGACGCGGCGCCATCTTGCTAGTCCTTCTTGCTTTGACTGTCCAGTTTAGAAAGAAATCTTCTCTCATATAATCAATTTTCCAGCAAAAGAAATAGCACAGGACAAATTGATTGTAAGCAACTCTGGTATGTACTTCATTCTCACTATCGCCCCCTTCGGTGAGGCACAGATCAACTGCCTGCCTCAAGGCAAGCTTTTTCCTTGTGTCTTTTTCTCCAATCAAAAGACTTATTCTAAATATAAATAGTACAGACATATGTGCAATACATTATTAAACAAATGTTTTCAAAGCAGGATGAACCAAACAGCGAAATGACAACCAGCACGAACCGTACTGAAAATTCTGTACATAGGACAACAATTGAAAACAATAATTAAAACAATAAAAATTAAATGATTATTTCTTTCTATGATGGCCTCTCTTGACTGCACGTCCTTGACCTCCCCCCTCTGCTGGAAACACTGAAAAAAAGTGTGCTGTCTGGGGCCAAGCATTAAGCTTCTACATTCATGACATGTCTTGTATGAAGCACACATTATGTTTTCATACAAGTGTGTTTATTAGAGGCTTACTACCCACCTCACCTACGGTATAGTCGTGTAATGTCCCTTTACTACATGGATAATAAGATAAGATAAACCTTTATTAGTCTCACAGTGGAGAAATTTCAGTGTCATCGTTGCACATTACAGCAGAGAAAGGAAATAAGAGCACAGATTGCACACATCAAAGTCTATTATTTAAGATAATAGACAATAAATTTAAGATAAAATAAAATAAAATTAAAATAAGATAAACTCTGGGCTATAATTGCACTTGGTTCGGAGTATTTACAGATGTCTATATTATACATTAGCAGCGGAGAATATGAGAATATGAATATGAGCAGAATAAACATCAGAAATAATATCAACAGGTAAAGTGACTTGAATGGGAGAATTATCAGATGGATATGAATAATACAGTAAGATATCAACAGGTGAAGTGACGGTGAAAGGCAGTAACACTGCTAGTAGTAACATACTAGTAACAAGACGCAGAGATGGCTTCCCATCTCATCACTTATCTGTTGGTGTGCTGTGAATCTGGTCATCTGGCCCAACCGAATCACCGGGCGTCACTGCACACATTGCACTGTTCTGTCAATCTCTCGCTCCATGTAACCACACTTGTAAACAAGACCCAAGAGACTGGAATTCTTTGACATTCCTTACCTCCAGGGTCCACCACCGGATGTGGGGATTCATTTGATAAAAATAGGTTCTCTAGACTTCTCTCAGGCCGATGTGTCTGGTGATATCAGTCATTTCTGGTTATCACGTGGAGTCGTTGCTTTCAAACAGATGGAAAAACATCCATTTGGTACATGGGTTATTCATGACTGTGAGTGCAGGCGAAAGGACAGTTATATACATAGTGCAGCGGTCAATGTTTGATGAGCTGTGTCTCCCAGGAGCCTGTGATCCACTGAAAATACGTACACACACACACACACACATACACTTGGACGACTTACTGTGTGGGGGAGTTTGTTGAAGAGATACAGTAGATAACTCTGATTCTCAGAATGTGAAATGACAATTACTGTATGTTATTTTCCTGGCCATTTAAATATGTTGACTCAAACTGTTAAAATATTCACTAATGTATGATGAATTTATAATTGCATTCTGTGTAACCATGTTTCAACATTGTTCCTGATAGACGCTCTAATCTCAAACCTTATAAAATATGACTAATCCTTCCACTATTATGTCATGATCAAAGTACAAAGCAAACTATATGCATTTAGCAGTAAAGGTGTGTGTGTGTGTGTGTGTGTGTGTGTGTGTGTGTGTGCGCCTGCCTGCCTGTGTTCAGACCATAGACAGTTCTTGCCTGCTTGTAGCAGCCTGTCTGTCCGTCAGCCTTTGCGCCGCTTCTCAGAGAAGCTCAGTGTTTGTGTTTCTCTTCATTATTCATGTCCTTTTTTCACATGAACAAACACATCACATACGCTTTATGTTGAAGTCCAGAACAAGCGCTACTCCCATCATCCAAGACCACGGCTGGAATATGTGCTTAGGGATATTCACTTACCAGTACAGTACAACAGGATACAGCAGGGCTATGATAAATATATTTTTAAAGAACACATATTCTGAGCTTTTTACCCAAAAAAAAAAGAGAAAATAAATCTCAAGGCGTGAGAGGGCAGCGTTCTATAGCCTTTCCGCTCTTCCTTCAACATGTGTCTCAAACAAGTAACCACAGACACACCAGCCTGCATCCGGGCTTTGTCTGCTGTTGCCTTCTGCACCGGGAGCACTATAAAACGTACATGTTATAGAGTTAAAACATACATTTTATTATATCACAACCTACATATTAATACCTTCAAAACTTACATTTTATTACATTAGAACCATCCATCCTCTTTCACTGGGGAAGCAGTCTAAGCAGAGACGAACAGACTCCCCGATTCAAACACACCTCCTCCAGCTCATCTGGGGAATCACGAGGCGTTCCCAGGCCATAGATATATTTTTGTTGTAACAAACATGTCTGAAGTTAATCTTTAACCCACACTGACTGTAATACCCTTCCGTTGAGAACCGCTAGAGAAATTAACAAAACAAAAAAGAAAACACTTCTGTCCAAGAGTAATGACGTTCTGGTCTCAGAAACGGTTTTGGTCTTGTATTTAGTTTGAAAACCAAGCATGTAGATAGAAGGGGTAGGGGTACTCTACTACTTGTCATGATGAGGAAACAATGTAACAGTGAAAATAATCAAATAGAATGTGAACGTTCACATTCACATTCTGTTTGAAGCACAGTGATCAGGATACCCCTGGTAGATGCACTCTGGCTCACTCTATTGTCCTGTCCTTAAAGCTCGGCAGGAGTCCACAGTGTCTCCAGAGAAACTGAACAAGTATCTGCTATAACCTTTGAGACCGATGCAGAGCCTGTCAGACAAGGCTCAGGGAAAAGCATGCACCTGCCTCCACACAGCGAAAAAAGGGAGGGAGAGTGTGGCTTCTGCTGCCATGGATACATTCTGTAGTGAAGGCCAGCTTGTGCTTACAAGTTGACAGAACAAGTGGACTTTTTCAGGGTTTACCATGTTATATGTGTGTTGTACTGTTATTTTTTTTAACCAAATCTAAATGAATTACAGTAGAAACACATTTGTTGATTTGTTGCTCACTGTGTGTGCTGCATGTGTACATTGCTCCACATCTCCTGCAGGAGAAGCATAGTCCTCAATGTCTTACCTCTGCATTAAGACTCGCTGAATCTAAACAATACATTTTACCTCTGCACTAAGACCAGGTGAAATGTTGTAATGATTAGTGAATGCTCACATCTTGCTCTTAAGATGAATTGGTCATCAAAGTGTATTCTGCTCTCAGCAGAATTACAGCTGTTTTGTGATGGCCCCATATGTTTAGAGTGTATTAGTCACTAAACAGCATCATTTGGATGGAACGCACCAGAGAGGTCAGAGATGAAGTTGGGGAAAAGGTATAAAGCAGTATTTAAATCAAACAAAGACTTTGAAAGCTTTGAACATCTTACTGTTCCATCAAATATTCCAAAATGCTGTTTCCATTATGGAACCACAACAATTTTACCAATACACGACGTTAAACCTAAACTAACAGGGCCAACAAACAGAGCGCTAATCACAAATGCAACCCTGTATGACTCCGGAGGCAGCAGCTGAGCTGATAGAATCTATACATGGGAAAATAATACACATAACACTAACCTGGCCACTTTTGATCACTTATACTCATACTATTCTCTTCTGTCGTGGAAAATGTGTTGCTGGTGCAGATATGTCTTGTGTCCTGTTACAGATGGTCATCAGTCGCGGCCTGGACGGCTTTGGATTCACTATCTTCTCTGACTGTCCAGTACGAGTACAAGATGTGGACTCAGGTTTGTGCCTCACACACACATCCTATCCAGCCAGACTGAGAGACTGTGCCATGTTAAATGGATATTGGTATAGACGGCGGCACGGTGGCTGAGTGGATAGCACTCTCGCCTCTCAGCAAGAAGGTCCTGGGTTCGAATCCCGGTCGGACCAGGGCCTTTCTGAGTGGAGTTTGCATGTTCTCCCCGTGTCTGCGTAGGTTTCCTCCGGGTACTCCGGTTTCCCCTACCACTAAAAATATGTCCAATAGTTCTGGCATGCGCCTCCTGTACTGGCGACCCCGCTCCCATCTCTGTGTGGAGTGAGAGACAAATGCCCATAATTAACAATTGTAAACCGCTTTGAGACTCAGATCTGCAGTGAAAAGGCGGTATATAAATAAAAACTTACTTACTTACTTACTTACTATTATACAAGCAGAATGTAATTTTATACCTCTACCACTAGTTTGGTGCGTTTCAGTATTCTAGCCTTTATCCATTGTACATCTTTGTTCTTTGTTACAAGACCAGCCTTTGAGTAAGGCCCCGACTCCACCGGGCGCGTAAAACGGACGACGGATCCGTCCAAACATGTCCGTTTCATCTCCGTCTCCGTTATCTCCATGAGAGTGAATGGAAGTGGCTCCACTGCCTCCGTATGCGTCCGTCCAACGCACGTCGGACCTATTCCGTCAACGGAGGGTGCAAAAGACGTGGACGGACGAAATAGAAACAATCCTATTTGTTCCGTCCGTCGACGCGTGTCGGGTCCGTTTTCCATTGAAAATGCAATGGAATAATATATTTACAACATTGTTAAACATGTATTGATATATGCTGTAGTCCTTGGTTATAAGTATTTGTTAATGACAATGATTATTAACAAACGTGTGTAATGTTTTTCATGTATTAATTTAAATAATTGTTTCCTGATCGTAAATCTACCATTTATTTTTCGCGTAATGTTAATCTTTACATAAACCTCGCTCTTCTGTCCCGTCTACCTCCGAGGCGCTCTCTCCTCACCGCCGCGCGCTCCCAGACAGACAGACAGACAGACAGACAGACAGACAGACACGCACACACACACAGAGCTGCACTTATGAGAGACAGATCTCACAACACTGGATATGTTGGAGTTCTTTTCTCTCTCCCCTTTTTCCAATTGCTTTCAATAAGTTTTGCCTCATCCATCGCGACGTCCTCAATGCTTCAATATGCTGTGCTTTGCACTGATCATAGCCACAGCTCATTCAAATCACACACCGCTTCTTCTATTTAAAACTATAGCTCTGCCTGTTGCCTAAAGCCGCAGAGAGGCGAGTTGGCTCCGATAAAAGTGTATCATGCGCTAAATAAGTAGAAAACAAACGAAGAGGCTGGATCATAATAAACGCTGCAGTCACAGACCCAAACACACATGCACGCACACGCCTCCCCCACACACACACACACACACACACACACACACACACGGGCGCTCTCACGCACACGCTCACGCACACATGCACGCCGACAATACATAACTCCTCCATCAGCCAAACATTCATTCATTCACACAATGCCCAAACATGTCTCCTACAAAAATAAAGCAGGCTGATAAACGCACAGCCAGAGCTGCTGCTGCTGCAGCCGGTTTGACCACTAGTCCGTGTTACGGACGTCCAACGGACAGCAGCCAACGCGCGTCAACGGAGACGCGCCCGGTGGAGTCGGGGGGTAAGTCCTGTTTCATGGTAACCGTACTTCTAGAAGTATTGGTGAAATGTCGCATGCAAAAAAAATAAAGCCGTACCACATTTGCCACATTCATCGTCTTCGGGCCCAACAGTGTCGTCACATAATTACATCCAAAACCATATTTTCTTTAATTTGACATGATGCTAACAATTTTATGTCGGTTACAATGCAAGAAAAACAGCAGAGCTTGGTGCAAACACAGACTGTGGTAAGTGTGGGACTCGGGAGTGAGGCTGCATGTGCTGATTTACTGTTTTGTCAATCACCTCCGGGAGGCGGCCTTTTCCAGAACGTGCCGTTTCAATAATGTTGTGCCACGTCATCAACTTGAACCGAGTCGATTTGCTGCCTTTCAGGGAATAAAAGAGAAAGATCACTTTCTAACTAAAGCTTGAGGGAATCAATTCAAAAGATACTTTGCGCATGTGTATGAAGTCAAAAAAGCACTGTAATGATGTTCAAAGGAGCTATAACCGTTTCTGCAAGGTTTTTTTCAGTTTGAATGTTTAGCACCGCCCCTCAACTCGCTCACAAGCTTCTCATTTTCCCTACGCTCTCCTCCCATGAAGCCATCTAGTTTTATTTGCAATCTAATACATATGCAGACCAATGACAGTAAATACTAACGGACGCAGTCACGCCTATCTCAGCCATTCTAAATTTTCCAAAATGGCCGCGGGGGCAAGAAAATGTGAAAAAACGCATCTGCGCATGCGTCAGCCGGCACGAGCCCCATTCATTTAACGGGTGACTTAAAAAATTCACAGCAACTAAACTAGACTGGTCCAAAAAAATTCACTCCCCTCAGCATTGACACACATGTGGAACGGAGCTTTGGGCCAAAAGCCAACTTTTGGACCATCCTGTAAAGACGTTAAGAAGATGCTTTACATTGGCTAATTCTTATTCTGGGTCCACCCCCATGGGCCCAGGGTGGTATTGCAAGCATGTCAGCGCACGTCATTTTGGCCACTTTTGAGCCGGGACCCGCCCCCACTGAGGCAAACATTAGCATTAGCGCAACCTCTTGTAAACTGTTCAACATTCACTGATGAAATGGTACAAAAGCAACGCACTGCTAACAAAATATATAACTGAAAAAATACTGCTACTTTTGTGTCCGAATGTAGTCCGAGCATAGATAGTCCGAGGCGGTCCCGCTCCCGCAGGTCTCTCCAGAGGATACAATGTAAGTTAACGTGTATATTTACACCACTTTCTGCTGCCATGCTGCTGTGTTTACCTGCGCTGTAGACACTAAAGGATGCAGGCTGTTTGGAACAGCACCGCTCCTCGTTCTGTGATTGGAGGAGAGCTGGTTTCTACTCAGAATTTTTTACAGCCTGAATTCATACACAAGTTGAATTGATTAGCTCAAGTTTTCAATTAAATTATAGATTTTAATCCAACTTGTATGTAGTAATCCATCAATCTATCTACAGTATCTATCTAATACGCATTTTTATGAACTCATTAGAAAATAAATGGGGTATAGCTTCTTTAAGTAAGAAAGTAAGTAATTTTTATTTATATAGCGCATTTTACAGACCCAGGTCACCCAAAGCGCTTTACAATGTTCAGAGTTCATCACACACGGTGATGACGGAAGCGAGTCGCCAAACACACTGGACCATCAGCCCCCAATCAACACCATCCATTCACTCTCTCTTATACATTCATACCTTTAAAACATAGAAAAGGCAAAATGGTAATATGGTGATCTTTAATGGACGTGATCTAACTGTGAAATGGCATGAAAATGTGAAAAAACACATTTATGCATGTGTTAGCCGGCACTAGCCCTATTCATTTGACAAGTGCCTTCTGAAGTCCACAGCGGCTAAACTAGACTGGCCCAAAAAAATATACTCCCCTCAGCATTGAACGTAGCGTTGGGTCAAGAGCGCCTTTTGACCATCCTGTAAAGCCGTTTTTGAGAGGAAAGAAGGCGGCATACAAAAGCATTGGGTAATTGTTATTCTCGGTCCACCCCACTGGCTAGGAGTGGTATTGCAGGCATGTCAGCTCACATGCTCATGGACCTTTTGGAGCTGGGACCCGCTCCAACTGGTTCAGACTGTACATGTTGCATGGTGCATTCTCATCTTGCTAAACTTACTGTTCTGTTTACTGTCCCACATGTGTTTGTTGTGTACAGGAGGCCCCGCCCACACAGCCGGCCTGCGGCATGGTGATGCTGTGCTCCAACTAAATGGGGTCTCCGTGGAAACATGGGGGTGTGGCCAGCTTGCACATGCTATCAGGTAAACCAAACTCATAATTTGCCTTCCTGTTCTGCAAAGTGAGGATATGATAGTTTTAGAGGATGGACATGGTTTACTGATTTTGAAAACAAAGTCATGAACTTGGAACTTGCCAGTGTTTTACTGTTATTCTACTGTGAAATTGTTTCAGTGCAGGGAAGTGTAAACTTCTGAGCAACGCAGTTCCAGCCAGTGGGACATGAAGGTCCTGGTCAACAAGAAAGTTTTAATTCAATTCAATTTCTTCAATTCAATCTTCTTAGATCAGGAAGTCCATATATATCGTATACTCGCAATACACAACACTCGGTACACACAAACTTGTAGTTTGTATTTCCATATCCTGTGTTACAACAACTCTTTACATCAGACAAATCTATCTCTCTGCAGGTGCTGTCCTGGCCATATATCACTGGTCATCTGGAGACCTGCAGCTGAGGCCACGTCCACATCATGGTCCTGCCCCTCTCACCAACAGGTCAGTTCAATCACAGCACTGAGTCAGAGCACCACTGTATTTAGTCCCACCGCATCATTCTGCACTTTGCCAATTTACACAATGTAAAAATTAAACTACATTTGCGGTCACGTTAAAGATACTTTGAATATAATATAATCTACATATTTGTAAATCCTGTCCTGTGGATGATCACAATCTCCTTTTACACAGGGGTAATTTTAGTTCCAACATCAGCAAAAGGATGATAGGCAACTTCCTACAACTAAACTTAATCATGTGACTAAATTGTCCTTTCCCTACTCAAAAACATTTCCTCTACAAAAATTTTTGAAATAATGAAAGTGTGTGCATGTATTGTTAGATACTATAGATTATATTATTGTAATGCCCTCTCGGTCTTTAGTTTAGGCCTCAGGCCTTAAATCTGTCCGGCCTTTGCAACTTATTTAAAACTCTGCAGCTCATGCACTGATGCAGATTAGAAAAATATCTTGAATTACACATGTTCTAGGGGTTCTCCACTCTCTCAGTTATGGCCCGGTTTGATTATAAAATCCTTTTGCTCATTTAAAAAACCCTTAGGCTCATATATTTATTTATATTATTATTTATACTGATTTACTTGATGTTGAAGGTGGACGAAGCAGATTACAAATGGAATCAGTTGTTCTGGCTCATTACACTTACACCAAATCTTCCCACAACATTTTGAGTTATGTTGCTCACACATGGACAGTCTGTTATAATTGTTCTCTAAAGTAAAAACAAAACATCAAATCCAGCTTGTGCACTCCTTTGGCTTACAAAGGCTGCAACAATGAAGATAATATTGAAGACAAGTGTGAACATGCAATATTTTGTCTGTGCAAGACTCTTGAGTGTTTGTCTTTCCCAGACTGAGGTTTCTGCAGCAGAGCACCGGCCGAGGGGTCCCAGGTCGCTGTGGAGACGCAGCCAGGACAGGGGCCAGGACAGGGGCCAGGACAGGAGCCAGGAGCCTCCCCCGTCTACCCTGAGCAGAGACTACATTGTGCTGTCCCCAAGCGAGCATAGCCTGAGAGCGGCCCGGGCCACCACTATGGGTACCCACACTTTCACCTATCCTTAACCAGGCCAGAAACGCAGCATCCAATAGGAGGATCTTGGAGTGACGTCGTTGTTTATAGTTTTTCTGCGCCGGTCACATGACTGGGTGGCAATACAGCATAGAAAGCTACCTGGATGCAGAGTTTTAGCTATTATATTGGAGAGCGGTTTTACTAAATCAAATGGTCCGTTCTTGTTGTGTGGTCGGTTGTACAGTTGGGGACAGTTTAAGTTTTTTTTCTAATTCTTTCGGAAAAGAACAGCGAAAAACGGCCGTGGTAAAGTGGTTGCCCTTTTATGCTGTTACCTACGGTAAACGTAGAATGGGAAGCCGGGGGGATGAGGGGATAAAAATTCATAAACAAATTTAAGTTTCACTGCGCACTTGTTCACTCATTCATTCATAAATGATTGATGATTAATTTTAAACATTGCATTTTGGTTGCTCATCCCTGCGGCTTCCTGTTCCACCTTTACCGTAAGTAACAGAAAATAAGGGCAACCCGCTTTTAATGTGTGGCGAAATGCCGGGCCACTTTACCGCGGTGAATAACGCGAGAAATGGATTTTCTATGAAGTAAGAATAAATGTCCCTGAGTCCCGGTCCCAGCAGATCGGTGCCAAAAGAGGTGAGTCTGACCAATGTTTCTTCTCGTCATCCCAGGTCTCGTATGGGCTTTGAATTTGTTCAGTTTGGTCTCAGATACTTATTTTTAGTTTGTCTTTATATCTCCTCTGATCTTCTTGCGTTAAAGTGCTTAAATACAGTGCTATTCGCCCACTGAGTCTTTTAAAAGTACTCATCGCATCCATGCTTCAGTATGTGCCACTCTGTCTTCTTGCCACACAGCGAGGGGCGCATGCGCACGCGGTTGTAAACAAAGATCCTCCTATACATTTCTATCATGCAGATCTGTGTAGCACTGTATCTACAACAAATTTCCCTTGGGACAATAAAGTTTATCTTATCATATCTTACCAGTTACTCCAATCAAATGTCAATGGCAATAAATCAACACAAGAGAATGTTAAATCTAAGACTGTTAAACAAGTCTCCAGTCCTTTTTCCCAAAGTATTGTGAGGTCAGACCTAATCAAGGACTCAGAATTTTTTGTGAATTGGGATGTAGCTTCTATCTTTTGTTTCAGGCCGCTGGTACCACCCCCCTCCCTCCACACGACCCACATACTCCTCGGCCTCTCTGCCCCCTCCGCTGGCCAAGACTCTTGGTTGCTACGGCGATTACGAGAACTGCACCATCGTCCAGTCCCACACATGCGACAACTTTGGCTCCATCGCTCCCAAAACTCTCATCTTTCCCATACACCTCAAGGTAAGTCGGAAATAACAAAAACTAGTAGTAGCACTGTAGCAGTAGTGGTAGGAGCAGTTGCAGAAGTACTATAGTGTTGAAGTAGTAGTACTTTAGTCATACTGTGGTAGTAGCAGTACAGTGGTATTACTGTAGTACAGGGGTCTCCAACCTGTAGCTCGGGAGCCACCAGTAGCTCGCCACCCCCATCCAGGTAGCTCGCCAAAGGAGATAGAAATGAACAAATCAAATACTATACTCAATTCAGATTGTATTATTTATTATTGTTATTTGCTATTGTAAATGCAACAAATATGCAATGACAAAAATGACAATACCCAACATCAGGCTTGTTCACACCAATATGGCACCATTTTTTCCCCAGACGCTTAAAGAAGTAGCTCGCTGCCTTTATCATCCCGAGAAAGTAGCTCTCTGGGTGAAAAAGGTTGGCGATACCTGCTGTAGTACACTCTAGTTAGAATACTGTAGTTGTACTACCACAGTACTACGTATTGTAGGTGTAGTAGTGCCGTGGTTGTAGTACTGTAATTGTACCATGACTCTAGTAATACTTTCGTATTCGTACTGTGGTAGTACTGTAGTTGCAGTAGTACTGTAGTTGCACCTTCGTAGTCCTGTATTCTTACCATCGTAGTACTGTGGTCATACTATATTAGTACTGTAGTCGTAGTGGTAGTTCTGTAGTACCAATAAACATGGTTCTATTAACCCCTTTTGTAGTAGTAGTAGAGGAATGCTCCAGAACATTCATCCATTTGCTGAATTTAACTTCTGAACTTTAGTTTGTTTGTTTTTGTTTTTTAAGTGTTTGATTTTGTACTCTTCTATTGGGCATCAACAATTTTGGGACATTCTCAGAGATGGCTTCGGTTGTGAATTTGGATGTGGATTTGACGTGTGCCTCTTTAGCCCATAGATCTGTGCAGCCCTGACCGGACACTGCTCATGTCTGAGGAGCTGACCCTTCACCTACCTGACTTGCTGCCGGCGAAGGTAACTGCAGGATACAATGTTTATTTGGTTATTTTGACATTATGACGCTCTCAATAAAAGTCACAACATTTATACACAATTCAAAAAGCCAATGAAACCCCAGATGTACTAGAATTAAAGTGTGTTTGTGTAAAGTGCTTCTATGTGCATTGTCTGCAATATTACAGCAGCTGTAAAAGTTACGGATAGCCCCTTTAATGTGGAGCATGAGGTCATGCTGGATAAGACGGCTCTGCTCGAATGGAGACGAAAGGGACGAATGGTTAAGGGTGAAGAAAGGAAAAGGCACATGGCAAAGGGGAAACTCTCAAACCTTAAACCTAAAAATTTATTTCAAATTTACCATGTACTGTTATCTAATCTGTACAGCTGTAAGTACAAACTTTTTGTGCTAAATGCAGCAACCAAATATGCATTAAGTGTGATTAACCCTCGCAGCCTGACTCATGGCCTGAACTCCAACGTTGATGTTTCTGTCAGTAGAGGGCAGGAATTACATAATAAATTGGTGTCTCTTATGAGTGTGTGCTGTGGCGCAGGTGACTCTGATGGTCTACACCGACCTGCTGCTCTTCACCAGAGAGGACGAGATTGGCCGCTACAACATCCTGCAGAGCCCTGTCTACCTGAACACTGTGTCTTTCATTGAAGGTAACATGACAACGCTTACCTGGATGTAACATGACTGAATTAAAGCAGAGACAAGACTGGTCTTAACTGGACACAACTGTATAAGTTTAGGTAGAAGACATCAAGTTAAATTCTTGGTAAATCTGGTAAATTTGTTGCAGTGAGCTCCAAACCCCTGCACCTGTTCTTCCTGCGGACGCCCCGTGGCTCTGTCCAGTTCAGCCTGGAAGCCTACAGTCTACAGCAGAAGCACCGCCTAAGCATCTGTCTTCATGACAACATGCATCACTTGGTTTCCATGGAGGCCCAGCTCCTGTCCCTTCATGACAACAGCCCACCTGCCCCCGAGTCCAAGCAGGTACAAGATCCCCCTATACAGTGGGTCTGAACATGGAAGTGCGCAGACACGTCTTGTTTATTACACCGCTATGTTAATCTTAACGAGCCGCGGTGTCATAGATGATTACATGTAGCAGACGGAGGCCCAAAGGGTCTCCGTTGAAAACCGTTGAAAAAGTAACAGGGTGATACGCCTTATGTGCTTCCAGTGGTGGGACGTGTCCGCCCCGCCCTCGTCCCTGTGCAGTCCCGTATGGAAACCTCGTAGCACAGAGGCCCCTGCTGAGGTCACAGAACCAGAGCCAGAGCACCCCTTCAAGGAGACAGCGGGACACATCAAGGAGCCAGGACACTCAGGTGAGATTTTGAGAACTAGAATGACCACTCCCCAGTGGCGGACCCTCAAGCCCTTCTCTGCTGGCCTAAACATAATCTTGAATATGTATTCTTTTTATCCACCAATATGCATGACATTTCTTCCCCATTGCTCTTCATTCCATTGTTCTGATTTTGCAACTTTCAGCCCCAGGTCGAGATTTGGAAGTCTAGAGTTTTTTATCCAGTCATTATTCAGCATCATGTGTTGTCAGGATTCAAAATCTGCTGTTAGGCCTTCAGAAGCCACAGTGCTGGCCCACGGTTGCTTAAAAGGAAGGTAAACAAACCTGGGGCATTAACCAATCAGCATCAAATTGGCTTTAAGCCTAGCGTACATCGACAGAGAAACTGGAGACAACTAGTTGCAAGGCGGCTTTTAGCCTAGCGTACATCGGACTTGCAACTGATTATATCCGTCGCATATGAGTTGCTGCCCGGCACACATCGACAATATGAAGAAAACGGGCAACTCCCAGTAGCAGACCAGTCTCGGTTTATCTGTTTATCTCCAGTTGTAAGAGCGCGCACATCGACCGATTTCGGCAACTGATCATCTCCCACCATCTCCTCTCAGTTGCCAAAAGCCGCCTTGCAACTAGTTGTCCCCAGTTTCTCTGTCGATGTACGCTAGGCTTAAAGCCTAGCGCCTAGTTGCAAGGCGGCTTTTGGCAACTGAGAGGAGATGGTGGGAGATGATCAGTTGCTGAAATCGGTCGATGTGCGCGCTCTTACAACTGGAGATGATCAGTCGGTCTCCAGTTTCAGTCAGTTGCCCGTGTTCTACTTTTCGGCAACTAGTTGTCCTCAGTTTCGGAGATATGACCCGATGTGCGCGCTCCATGCGCCGCTCCGACAACGTGTGTGTATTGCGTGTATTGCGAGCCCGCAACAGTTTATGTCAGAAAACACACTGTAGTTGACGGCCAGTTGCTGTCGATGTACGCGCTGTTATTCCCGAGACTGGTCTGCTACTAGGAGTTGCCCGTTTTCGTCAGATTTTCGATGTGTGCGAGGCAGCAACTCGTATGCGACGGATATAATCAGTTGCCAGTCCGATGTACGCTAGGCTTTAGGCAACTGAGAGGAGATGGTGGGAGATGATCAGTTGCTGAAATCGGTCGATGTGCGCACTCTTACAACTGGAGATGAACAGTTGGTCTCCAGTTTCAGTCAGTTGCCCGTGTTCTACTTTTCGGCAACTAGTTGTCCTCAGTTTCGGAAATATGACCCGATGTCGCGCTCCATGCGCCACTCCGACAACGTGTGTGTATTGCGTGTATTGCGAGCCCGCAACACTTGATGTCAGAAAACACACTGTAGTTGACGACAAGTTGCTGTCGATGTACGCGCTGTTATTCCCGAGACTGGTCTGCTACTGGGAGTTGCCCGTTTTCGTCAGATTGTCGATGTGTGCGGGGCAGCAACTCATATGCGACGGATATAATCAGACACAAGAAAGAATATGGAACACATGTTGATAAATGTCCATACAGTTTGTAGAAAGTTAAAGTGTCCTGGATCATCACCTTTTGTTGGACACTAACTCCCCAACAGACCCTCCTGTATCGGCAAGGAAAAACTCACAGAAACCCAGTGGGAAAAAAGTGAAAAACCTTGGGGAGACCCACATTGACAGAGGGATCCGCTCCACACGGACAAACGGATCCAGGACCTAAGCCACAGAACGTGGATATGCGATATAGAGAGACATGTCAATGCAGACCATGCAGAAATGTCAATTTGACAAACAGAAACAATGAAAATATGAACTTACTAATATGTGTATGTATTTTTCAAGCCACAATGGCTGATGTAGGGGATACTGATTTGGTAGATATTGTTACAAGGCCATTTTCTATGCGGTTTTGTTGTTAAACTTGTTAAAGCTAATACTGTAGTGAATACAACTCAGTATTCTCATATACTGTAATTCTGTTGTACTTGATTTTATGTAAAGATGATGCAACATCAGGTTTGGTCTAAATGTATAATGTGTAGAGCCATGGCATCAAATTTATGGTGGATTCAGCCAGGAAGGGCATCACTGCCCACCAGTGAGATAGTGGTGTGGAACCTGACTCGTTCTCTCTTCCTCTTGTAGCTTCACTGAGTGCTTTCTCTTTTCTTTTGTTGGAATAGGCCTGAGCCGCACTCTCTCAGAGGGCTCTCTCCTGCAGGAGCCCCGGGCCCCTCACCTTCTGCCCCACAGTCCTGTCCTGACATGGCCCCTGAGGAGCAGTGTGGCCCCAACCCCTGACAGCTGCAGCGCTCCTCGGCCTTCCACGATGACTCTGAAGAAGCTCCTGACTGAGGGAGGCGGTCTGCACAAAGCCCTAGAACTGCTTTATGGATCCAAGGTACTGTTCTCTGCCTGTTCCGCAGCTGCTTTTTGCCTTTTTTCATGGAGAGAACATTTTTAATGACTTCTAAACAACATTAGTGTGTGTGTTCAAAGTCGTGTCTATGTGGAACCATTTATTTTCATAGAACCTTGATAAAACAAGAGTGTCGTGTGTGTGCAGGCTCTAGAGGTGGGACATGCGCGACTCAAACAGAGGAACAAGACATTGTAAGTGGACGACCACTTGTGATTGATTGAAAGATGGGTTTGTGAATGTGTATGTGATGTCATCAGGGTGAGCCTGGCCTTTCTGCAGCGTAGAAAAAACAACAGCAACTTCAACAGCAACAGCTTGGAGAAAGCCCTGATGAACAACAGGTACATGATGACTCATTCATGCGTGCCATAAAGTCTTCACAGATGTGTTCTGTTTCAGACCCGCCTCCGAACAGGTCCAGAGATGGGCGGAGTCACTGGAGGCTCTTCTGACCAATCAGTGTGAGTGTCCACCATAGATTGTAAATATTAACGAGCGACGCCTATTTCCTGCAGTTAAATTTATCACAGACATGGGCTGGTGCTCAGTGGCGCATGTGACACCATGGGGACTTTAAGATTAGCAGAACTCAACCATATTTGGGCGTCGTCTGGTCCTCCCGGTTCCGCGCAGTGGACGAGCTCCCATGATGCGTTACGCCAAATACGTGTGTGTGGCTCTCATGCACGTGCACAGAGGATTGCTCTGACCAATCAGAGCTGCTGATCAGAGCGGAGTTAGAGCAGGAGCAAAATGAGCAGAGTTTGTGGCACTAAAGTGTGGATTTAAAGAAAATTGAGGGATTTAATTTTCGACAGTAGCTCAGTTGGTAGAGCACTGGTCTTTGGACCTAATGGTCGTGGGTTCGATCCCACCATGACCCGTGTCAACTGCTCCCACTGATGTCTGATGTCGTTGTGTCCCTGGGCAAGACACTTATCCCCAATGTGCCTGAAGTCCCCGCTGAAAGACCAAGGCGGCATCTGTGTCGAAGGAGCAGCCATCTTCCCTTGGACCCACCACCTGCAGGAAGATCAGCGTGGGACTGGTGCTATGTGAATTGGGTGGCAGTTCTGATTGCCACTCCCCTGACCCAGAAATGGAAAGAAAGGGATGTAAATGAAATGAAATGAAAAAAAAAAGAAGGATTTAAGAAGAAAAAAATCCCCACAAAATATTTAGTCTCATTTAATTTAGTCTGCAGTACCGCGAGAAAACCCTGAGCACATGGGTCCTTCAACTCCAAGCTAGTAATACCTTATCCAGATATTATAATAGTGTATTAAAAGCATGTCAGCTGACATGCTCATGGACCCTTTTGAGCACCCAAGCGCTCCACAAAACTCAAAATGACATGCTTCTGCTCGTGGCCTATTTTTAATTGAAAAATAAGACCACTTTACATTTCATATTTTAGAATTAGAAATAATATCTTAAGTATAAAACATAAGGTGAGTGGGTGGCAAGAAGACATAGCGGCAAAAACAAAAGCATGGAAGTGACAAGTCCTTTTAAAATACTTAGTGGGCGAAATGCACTACATATAGACACTTTAACGCAAGAAGATATTAGAAGCTAAAAATAAGGTGGCTAGTGGATATCACTCCCGCTTCTCAGCAATAAGGTCCTGGGTTCGAATCCCGAATCTCGTACCTCCATGCCTTTCTGAGTGGAGTTTACATGTTCTCCCCGTGTCTGCGTAGGTTTCCTCCGAGTGCTCCGGTTTCCCCTACCACTAAAAACAAACAATAGGTCTGGTATGCGCCTCCTGTACTTGCGACCTCACTCCCATCTCTGTGCGGAGTGTGAGACAAATGCCCACAATTGTAAAACGCTTTGTGACTCTGGTCTGTGAAAGGCGGTATATAAATAAAGATGACTTACTTACTTACTTAGAAAACCTGGGACCCTATGATGAGGCCTATGATTATTTCTCACTCATCAAGCTCACAGCGTCATTTATTCAGTAAAACATATTGTACTTCCGGTTTGACCCTTCAGTGTAAAAACACAGCAACACCCCTACCTGCTCTTAGCGCTGCAAAATTGCACATCAGCATATTTACAGAACATTTACATCACATCATTTAGAATTCACACTCCAAACAGAGCATTTGTGAACCTTTCCATTTTAAATTTCTCGCTCAACGTTTCTTTTACATTTTTAAGAGAATCTTCACAGTTTGTACCAATGATAACATCATTAACCCGAATAATAAATATTACTTTACCATGTTCACAAAAACGATCATGTAACATTTTAGTCCAGTTTCTCCTGGACTGTTTCAAATCATATAGTGACTTACTCAACTCAAAACTAGCTTTAAACCCGTTTCTGACTTAACTTCACAACCTTCTGGTTGTTCCATAAACAGCTCACAATCAATTGGCGCGTGCAAGTACGCAGTTTTTACTTCCTCTTGGTGAAGTTTTAAGTCTGTTTTGTTCTGCCATCTGCATTAAACAAAGCCCTGACGTCATGTCTGTAGTCGTCGAAAAAGTTTATTTGAAGTCAATGCCAGCAACTTGGCAGTAGCATTTAGCAAAAAATCTGGCTTTAAATGTCTCAGTTCTGTCTAGGGTCTCCTTTATCTTATATACCCATCTTACCCCCACTGTGTTTTTACCTTTTGGCAATGTGGTCAGGGTGACTGTGTCATTTTCTTTAAGCAATCTCATTTCTTCCTCCATGGCATTAGACCAGCAGTTAGACTTTGGGGAGTGCATAGGGATGCATAGCCTCTCCTCTGTATAACAATGTACCGACTAGGAAGGTACGGTGCTTTTCCAACAACCACCCATGGTTGACCCCTGAGCTTAAAGCCCTCCTGAACCCCAATGAAAGGGCTTTCGTCCCAGGGGACAAAGAGGAGCAGAAGAGGATCCAGCACAAACTCCAGTGGAGGATAGGGAGGGCCAAGAAGGACTATAGGAAAAAGCTGGAGCAGAAGCTGGCTATGGGGAAACGCCCGTGACATATGGAGGGGCCTAAAGAACATCTCTGGTTTCGGACAGAGTGCAAGAGGGACAGCGGATGGAGACCATCGCTGGGCAGATGAATTTAACCAATATTTCAACCGGTTTGATTCTCCCCCCTCTCCATCTGCCCCCCTTCCCGCCCTCACCTCTTCACCGGACGGGATCAGTCCCAGGCTGCAGAGGGCCTGTGCAGACCAGCTCTTTGAGGTCCTCAGCTACATCTACAACCTGAGCCTCAGCCTGAAGAAGGTCCCTGTCCTGTGGAAGACCTCCTGTGTGATCCCGGTTCCTACAATAGTGCACGCCAAGGAACCGGCTCACTACAGACCAGTCGCACTGACCTCCCACCTGATGAAGACCATGGAGCGACTCATCCTCACCCATCTCCGCTCTGTGGTCAGCCCCACCCTGGACCCGCTGCAGTTCGCCTACAGGCCCAACATCCGAGTAGAGGACGCCGTCATCAACTTACTGCAGAGGACGCTCTCCCACCTGGAGCCTGCAGGGAGCGCTGTGAGGGTCATGTTTTTTGACTTCTCCAGCGCTTTCAACACCATCAGACCGGCACTGCTGCGGGGGAAGATGGAGGACACGGGAGTGGACAGTAGCCTCACTGCATGGACCATCGACTACCTCTCGGACCGATCACAGTACGTGCGACTGCGCAGCTGTGAGTCTGAGGTGGTAGTCTGCAGTACTTGGGCCCCTCAGGGCACTGTCCTCTCACCGTTTCTTTTCACCATCTACACTTTAGACTTCTCATACGACACACACAGCTGTCACCTGCAGAAGTTCTCAGACGACTCCGCCATCGTGAGCTGTGTGTCTGAGGGGAACAAACTGGAATATCGGACAGTTTTCACGGACTTTGTCGACTGGTGTGAGCGCAACCACTTGTGCTTGAACACCAGTAAGACCAAGGAGATGATCATTGACTTCAGGAGAAAACCACTTTCCCACACACTGCTGAACATCCAGGGGGAGGACATTGAGCTGGTGGACAGCTTCAAGTACCTGGGTGTTAACATTAACAATAAACTGGACTGGTCCCATAACACCAACGCCATGTACAAGAAGGGCCAAAGTCGCCTCTTCCTTCTGAGGAGGCTGCGGCCCTTCAGAGTGAGCAGGCCTCTGCTCAGGACCTTTTATGACTCTGTGGTAGCTTCTGCCATAGACTACGCTGCTGTGTGCTGGGCCCCGGTCAGCACAGAGCGGGACAGGAGTAGACTGAACAATCTGGTCAGGAGAGCCAGCTCCACTCTGGGCTGCCCCCTGGACTCTGTGGAGGAGGTGAGGGACAGGAGGGTGCTAGTCAAGGTCACCTCCATCATGGACAACACCTCCCACCCACTGCACAGGACTGCAGAGGAGCTGAGGAGCTCTCTCAGTGGCAGACTGAGACACCCTCAGTGCAAGAAGGAGCGTTACCGCAGGGCCTTTATCCCCACCGCTGTCAGACTGTATAATAAGTCACTTTACTGTAAGTCACTTGCACTAGGACTGAATTTTATTTTATTTTTTTAAACAAAAATAACCTGCATTACAATTGCCACTGTTGCTTAATTGCCACTTTTTTTGTACATAATATATCCTGCATTTAACATGTTTGCACACTTCTTTCTTTGCACAATTTGTTTTTTCTTCTTGAGTGATTCTATCCATGTCAGATGTGACATTTATATTTCCCCTGTGTGAGATCAATAAAGTCTTATCTTATCAAATGTCTTTGGTATGCCGAACACCAACCTGTAACAGTAATCAAAGTTCATCAAAGTTTGGTCATAAACATAGTCTTTCAAATATTGTGGACTCTTCCTTTCTCATCTGGGATAATGTCTATAAAGTTTTTACTCAAAGTGTCCGGCTCATTTGTCTCTTTCAGGCTTTTAATGATTGTCTTGTCCAACCTTTTACAGTACGTTCCAACTGGTTGTAAGTCCTCATCTTTGTCCAGAGTGGTCTCAGTTTGACGCTCATCTCCACTTGTAGTGAGGAACTTGAGAACTGAACCTGATTCTGGGTAATAGATTATATATGACGAACTGTTTTTGTGTATACCACAAAAACTCCTTTGTCACACTTGCTTCGTCATCTCGCTTCTTTTTATTTTGTCAATAACTGTAACAAACGGACCCAGAAATTTGCATCCTGGACATGTTAGCTTTTTTACCTGTAAACAAATTGTAAGAGGTTTATTCTATGCGTCTTTTGTAACACCTGTTGCAAATTACTGCAGCAGTCATAACAGCATAATTCCAAAGTGTCTTAGGTCCTGGGTTCGAATTCTGGTTGGACCAGGGCCTTTCTGAGTGGAGTTTGCATGTTCTCCCCGTGTCTGCGTAGGTTTCTTCCGGGTGCTCCGGTTTCCCCTACCACTAAAAATATGTACAATAGGTCTGGCATGTGCCTCCTGTACTGGCACCCCCATTCCCAAAAATCACAATTGTAAACCGCTTTGAGACTCCGATGTGCAGTGAAAAGGCGGTATATAAATAAAGATTATTACTAAATAAAGATAAAGGGGCGACAGTAGCTCAGTTGGTAGAGCATTGGCCTTTGGGCCTGAAGGTTGTAGGTTCAAGCCCACCATAAGACCTACTTCACCACTCCCACTGATGACTGCTGTCGTTGTGTCCTTGGGCAAGACAGTTAACCCCACTTTGCCTGAAGCTCCCACTGAAAGATCTCAGCTCCTGTGGACTCACCACCTGCAGGAGGATCAGTGAGGGGCTGGTGCTAAGTGTACTGGGTGCAGCTCTGACTGCCACCCCCCTGACCCAGAAATGGATTAAGGGGAAGAAAATGGATGGATGGATGGACTAAATAAAGATTACTACTTAGGTATGGTACTCTCAAGTAGCCATCTAAATTGGGGTGAGTATGGTGCCCAGGTTTCATGTCTTATTGCATTCTTTCTTAGCAATGATTGAAACTTTCTGGAAGTAAACTCTGCAAGAAATTTCTCATTCGCTTCTACAGTGTCACTCTTAGCTTTTAAGATTTAAACAAAAATGTGTAGAGAGCTATAGTATCTGAACCCTGTCTTTTGCCTCTGGGTCAATCAGTACTAGATCTAACGATACTTTTGCTCTTTTGTCAGGCTTTCTATTTTGGGTCTTTGGGCTTCTCCTTTGATCTGCATACCCTCAGTAACATTGTCTAGCTTGGACAAATCTTCATAGTTACAGTGGCCAAGAATTCTGCGCCAAGTCATTGTTCAACTGTACAAGCCTCCATACTCATTGATGTCGAACCTTGTACCATTCTTGTGAAAAAGTTGGTTGCATCCTTTCTTGAATGTGACTGATGCTCCGCTGGTCGTCGCTGCCTGGACTGAGAAGATATCTTGTGGATATGAGGAGATGTGAAGCGCTCCTTTTACGGTTGCCTTTAGTCTGCATCCCTCTCTGTCTTGTGGCATCACCACCCATCCTCGTCCCATCCGCCAGCTCCATGAAGTGTCTTTCCCTCGTCAATCTTTTTGAAACTTTGAGTGTCCATAACTTTGTGAGACGTGGCTCCTGTACTAACCATCAAGCCTCATTGTTTCAGTCATCAAACATTCCAGTTATTTACTTTGAATGCAAAACTATGATTTTCTGAATCTGTTGTGTGTGTGTTTAATGCTTCATTTTTCATGTTTAAAGTTCTCACGTGTATTTGGCTCAGAGTAACATCTGACTGTGAAAGACTTGTGGGAATGCCCCAGAGGAGGTCACATCGTCATGGAGACACACCTGATCGGCTTATGGCTGTGTGTGAATCAAGCAATAATGTGTGTGTGCAGAGTTATCATCACATTGTCTGTACTTACACCCCCTCTGAAAGATCTCAGCTCCTGTGGACTCACCACCTGCAAGAGGATCAGTGAGGGGCTGGTGCTAAGTGTACCGGGTGCAGCTCTGACTGCCACCCCCCCGACCCAGAAATGGATTAAGGGGAAGAAAATGGATGTTTGGGTGTGTTCTGCTCTCTATGGCTTCGCTTTAGTCCCTTTGTTTTTGTTTGGCCATGTGTGTTGCCCATGTTGTGTTATTTTTCAAAAGGCCAAATCAATGCATCGATACAAAAAAGATGCACCTGCTGTAGGCATAAATAATTATCTATAGCACAATAAATTCAAATCTAACCATTGATAAGACTGCAAAGCTTGTGTCTGTGGACACGTTGGCTGTCTCCTCTGGTTTCGTTTTAAAACCAGAGGAGACAGATCTTCCAGACAGTTGCTCCTCGCCATTGAAATGAGCTTACTCAGTCTCTGCGCATCTTAGAGACTGTTGATGACTTTAAGTCCCAACTTAAGTCCTATTTGTTTACAGGCTTTCTCGCCTTACTGTTCATAGACCTCTGTGAACTGTGTTTCTCTGTGTTTTTGTTTTTAAATCTGACTTGTATGTGTATTTTATGTGTTATAATGTGTGAAGCGCTTTGTGATCCTGGTCTGTGAAATGCGCTATACAAATAAACTTTACTGACTTACTTATAATTTAACATGAAAAATATTACAATATAGTAACTTTATTATGCCATATACACTTGGAACAACATTTATTCATTTGCAGTATTTCTCATGTTGTAGACGTCATAACTGCACCAGGCCATCTGCGGTAGTTTGGTGACATGTTTTTTTCATTTGAACACACACTGTTTACTACCATCAGCATGTGGGGTGAAAAAGCCTAACAACTGAGTGCCCTGCTAGCCTTTGGGATCAGCTGGTAGATGGCAATCGATGTATCAAGCACCCCGGATATAGAGGCTCTATTTTGCTCTTTTTAATACTCTTAATATTAGTTCTTGTGCATTTAATCATTTTCAACAAGCGTGTGTGTCTGTGTGTGTGTGGCAGACGGCCTGGCAGTTTTTCGCCACTTCCTGCGTTCAGAGTTCAGTGAGGAGAACCTGGACTTCTGGTTAGCTGTGGAGAAATTCAAGCGGACAGGTCCCCAGAAGATGGTCTCCAAGGCAACCAGGATCTACAACGAGTTTATCTCCTGCAACGCCACGCGGCAGGTTTGCACAATGCCGCCTTCATTCAACAGTTCACTCAAAGTCAGTCAGGATAGCTGTGAATGCTCAGGTCTGATTAAGAGTTGCATTTGCTGTTTAGAAAAGATGTTAAGCTTATTGTCTCTGTTTAGTGTTCAACAAAGACAGAAAATAGCTGGTTTGAAAGATTAAATCATCCTAACTCCAGTGCTGTCATTTTCCAGATTAACATCGACTCTGCTGTTCGAGAGGTAACCAATCACAGCCTTTCTTTAAGCATTAGCCCCTCCTCTTTCCAGCTGGCCCAGGATCAAATCTACAACCTCATGTTGACGGACAGCTACCCACGCTTCCTCAAGTCCCGCCTCTACACCCAGCTTTCCAATCAAAAGCAGCGACATAGCCACACGCTGCAGTGACTGCTGGATGATAACCGCTCACACACAAGGGCTCATGAGGATCATTTCCACAACTACTACCTGTACAAACCTAAGTTTAGTCAATGTGGACTGAAATACTTTATAAATGCAGGTGGCGTTCATTTTCTATTTGCTGCTTAGAGCTTGATCCGGGAAAGCGGACTTGATATCTCTCATAAGCTGCTTTCACACATGCATTCTACCCAGGCATGAACTTTTCTTGAGCTGCATTTTTCTGGCATTTCTGAATATAGTAACTGGATCTAAGTGTACAGCAGCAGGTGCTAATCATCTCTGGTCCAAAGGGAGGGAGGAAGCTGACACATGACACTGAGGCTGATGAATAGAGCAGTGTCCAGCCACTTTCTTCTAGTATTATTTCCAATTAATAACTTAGCATTGACTTTGACCATTTAAATGCTGAAACGTGAATACTGTCCTATTTCTTATACATAGTTGGTGCATAGCATTCATTAAAGCATTAAAAAAAAAAAAAAATTGACATTGCCGTAAAAGTATACGTATATGCATTTGAAAGCTTTCTGTTTTTTGTTGTTGTTCTCAACATGCAAAATAGCCTTAACTTTGGACCAGCTTAAAATGGCAATATACAAATCATATTTACATGCCGAGCTCTGCATCAGTGTGGGCTGTGCATGGTCCAGGCTTCTACAACAAGCATGTATTTCAAAATCAACCTTGCTACACCCCACACGCGTCGCTGGAAGAAAAAATGCGTGTGCTGGGCAGGGAATGTAAGGTACAGCAGGTGTTCTAGAATAATTTTCAGTTGCGCTCACTGGTGATTACGGGACGTCCATTTAGAATAAGCAGAATAAGTGATTAATCATCAGTTAACTATGACATTAGTGTCGCAAAAAAGCTTTTATGCATTTGACAACACTAATTATTTTTTGTTGGAATTCTCTGAGTAAAATAGTGCTGTAAATCCTTTTCTGGATATTTGATCAGTTTTAGCTGTTTGTGAAGGCACTCTTAAAGGACAACTTAACCCAAAAACCCTTTTCCTTTTTAAAATACATTTTCAAATGTTCATGTGGGTTGAGTAAGGCTTGGCACAGGTGTTTAGTTGATCTTTAAGGGTATATTTATCAATCCAGGTGCAGATCTGCATGTCCGAGTAGAATAGTGTGTGCAGTTACAGTGGTTCAGTTCAATCTGCACATGCACATAATACATCAGTTTTCTAACTTATCTGGCGGTTGGAGAGGAGTCAGAGGATGGGGAAATCCAGTTTCCGCAGTGCTGCTCTTGTTTATATTGGTATTCAGCTGTTAGAGCATTTTTAAGTATGCCCATAGTATGATCAATATACCTGACCATTTTAGGGCCGTTATCAAATACTCTTAATGGACTAAAGTAGCCACAGCAAAAGCTTTCCAAACTATTGTGTATTTCTATGTGTGTATACTTTACTTCTAAGCAGCTTTCAAACTTCAACTGCATAGATTATTATGTACAAATCAAACAAAATCTGTCCCAAAAAACAGTTTTCCCCATATTAGACTGAAATACTTTCACACCCTTCACTGTGTAAAACATAAATATTCTGACTGTATTTTACCAAGTTGTTGTTAATGATGTAATGAGAGTGAATAAAGATGTGATTTTTGACTAATGCTACTTTTTGTTAAATGGTCCTATCTTTTTGAATCCATGGTCCTGGATGAAAATGGCACTGCTGTGTGTGAAGACTGCATGTTCATGTACACTCAACAAAAATATTAACACTTTGGTTTTTGCTCCCATTTTCCATGAGATGGAGATGTTCCTGGATGTATGGCACAACAATGGGCCTCAGGATCTCATCACGGTATCACAATGCCATCAATAAAATGCACCTGTGTTCTTCGACCATAACAGATGCCTGCCCATACCATAACCCCACCACCACCATGGGCCACTCGATCCACAACATTGACATCAGCAAAGCGCTCACCCACATCCATCCTGCCATCCACCCTGAACAATGCAAACCCAGATTCATCCATTAAGAGAACAGCTCTTCAACGTGCCAGACGCCATCGAATGTGAGCATTTTCCCACTCAAGTCTGTTACGGCGGCAAGCTGGAGTCAGGTCAAAACCCCGACGAGGACGACGAGAATGCAGTTGAGCTTCCCGAAAACGGTTTCTCACAGTTTGTGCAGAAATTGTTTATTTCAGCAGCTGTCTCAGTGGCTGGTCTCAGCCAATCTTAGAGGTGAACCTGCTGGATGTGGAGGTCCTAGGCTGATGTGGTTACACGTGGTCTGTGGTCGTGAGGCCGGTTGGATGTACTGCCAAATTCTCTGAAACGCCTTTGGAGACGGCTTATGGTGGAGTAATGAACATTCAATGACAAGCAACAGATCTAGTTGACATTCCTGCTGTCAGCATGCCAATTGCAAGCTCCCTCAATGCTTGCATCTGTGGCATTTTGCTGTGAGACAGAACTGCACATTTCAGGGTGGCCTTTTAATGGGGACAATCTAATGGTGCATTCAGACCGCAAACGCTCAAACGCTGAAGCCCGCTCACCAGACGCGCATTCTCTAGTTTTCAGACGCAGAGGACTTCACACCAGAACGTCCTGGCCAGCGCTGGAAGTGCCGGAAGTAGCCGGCCGGCTCTAATGCTAACAGAGCTATGCTAGCGGTTTCTTATGTGCAGATCTCCTCCAATATGCAGCTTTGCAGCGTGTCTTTGTTCAGAGACCTTCCACGGGTTTTATATAATAGTAGTATGTGTTCACGGAGGTGCGCCATACGTTTATTGTATTATTAAACAGTGTGTCCACATAGGCAAACACACTCGAAGCAGTTGCCTAAAGTCACGGGAGCATGAAAACCCATATATTCACAAGCACACAGTCCCCCATTGTCAACCCTGGTTTAGTCCTGATGTAGCTCCTGTTTTGGCTGTTTACGAGAATTTTCAGTCTGCTCGCTCAGTCCGCTAATGTCCCCGTGACCACTTTGACCGTGCTGCTCTCTGATTGGTTTCTGCACGAACGTCCCAAGGAAAGGATGTGCAGAATCCATCTCCTGTGGGCGTCAATTTTTCGCTCCTGCTCCTCCCCTTTGACTTTCCCGCCAAGTCCGTGCGTCTCTACTGAGCAGTCCACATTTAGACAGATTTGTGAACAATGTTTGAAAGAAATGGTAACATTGTGTATCTGAAATGAATTAGAGATCTTGTAAGTCCATCTCATGGGAAAATGGGAGCAAAAACAAAAGTGTTTATATTTTTGTTGAGTATAGTCATAAGTGTGGTCATACATGAGGTCATACATGTCATACATGTGGTCATATATGTGATCTTGTACATGATGCCATACATGAGGTTATGTGTGGTCATACATGAGGTCATACATAAGGTTATACATGATGTCATACGTGTGGTCAAAAAGCTACCTGGTCTTTTCTCGCGAGATTTGATCCAGGTATTTTACTGTCTTCACACACATCAATGAACATATCAACGTTCACCAACGTCAACTATACACAGTATTTTGTGTACAGCTCTGCCACAGGAGCAATAGGAAGTGTTTCCTGTTATGAAGAACTCGTGCTGATTTATGAGTGTGTGACAGTGTGGGCAGCTTCTGTTCTGGAGCTATGTGTGTTGCCACATTACATGAGTAAGAGAGACACCACCTTATATCTGATCTCATCAAAAATCTGTTTTTGGCTCCGTCCACACCAATCTTTGGCACAAAGATGTTGCACCGCTCTTTCAGTCTAAATACTCTGTTTTCAAACTCATTAAACTATGAGAAATCCTCAGAACGTCATGGACTGAGCTGTTGTCAGCCTTTTATACCAAAGTATTCCAATATTTTCTTTGTGAATAGGTAAAATCTAGATAAAATCCTCCAGCTCCGGTAGTCCTGGCCAAGCCGAGCATCAACATCTGGAGATGGGTTTCTGGGCGCTGTTACTACGGCGACCACTGCTCCTGATGTAAGCCTTCCTGGCATCAGGATGGGACAAATGCAGAGGATGAATGGTCCTACGGGGATCAATAAAGTGCACCTTTAGCTTTACCTTTAGATCTAGCAACCCATCTCAAGTCATTAATAAATCCTGGTTCATTGTCCACCTGCTTCAGTCCTGACTCAGGCCTGGTTCAGTTCTGGATCAGTCTTCCTCCTTGAGCTGATAACAAAATATTTGGGCATAGTAGAGGAGCTTGTTTACATCTCTGCTATGTCTGGTATGACCACCACCACCACACTGGCTAGGCTGAGCCAACACCCTGACCCAAGCAGAGAGGCTAACCCCCCCCTCTCTTTCATGAGCAGTTATAAAAGAAGCCGCTGCCACACTACACTTCCATACAGGACTCGCAGAGATACAAGGTAAGACATTATCTCCTTTCTTAAAAAAAGATCAAACACACATAATTGACTTAGATAGTATTTAACGTTGAGACGCCAACTGTGCCAAGTTGGAAGTGAATCCATGCAACTTAAGGCTTGAGTACCTAGTATTTTTGGTATTCTATTTTTTTATTTACTGTGAGGATAAGTCCCTCGAGATGAAACAGTTTGTTTTTAAAGGCATCCTCAAAATTGCATCAAACCTAATTAGTACCTAATTTTGAAACCACAAAAGAATAGATAGGTATATCTGCTTTTGCATGATGGACACTTTATTGATCCAGTAGCAGCAAAAATAAGAAATAAGATTTATCATTCTAAAAAGCTAACAATAGTAAGAATAAGCCCCTCAAGTCACAGTAGCAGAGGTGGAGTAGCCACTGGGTGGAACAAGACGGGTCTCAAGGTTTCTCAGGTCCATTTTCTCTGCTCTGGTCTAAAGTAAAATGCTAAATGCTTCATTAGCATTTTTCAAAAAGTCAGAATTCCTCCAGTGGATTTTTGCCTGATCCGCTTGTTTCGAAACATAAATCCTCTGCTCCGGTCTGACCCAGTACAAAAGCATGAACACTACTGCAGCAACATCTCAGGTACAAAAAATAAATAAAGGTAAAAATTGTAAAGCACAAAACAACCATTGTTTCAGAGCTTCTTAGGATTTGCTGCCGTTTCCACCAAACCAAAGTACAACTTTGTGTGAAATAAAATACATTTTACTATAGTTCATGGCTTCTAACCTGTTTTCTTCTATCACTAGTTTATACGTGCATGTACTTTTGGCATGCATGCATTTCAGTGAAAAAAAAAAAAAAAAAGGATTACCAGTCCTCTTTTCCTCTGCTCTCAATATGTTAAAGATCAAAAGTTTTTTTAGTAAAATGAATTAATCTTGAAGCAAATCAGAACAAAATGTGTTTAGGAAACCAAAAGAGTTAGGTAGCCCCAGGTTTAAATACAATTGTTGCCATGGAATTCCGACTGACCAAGCTCCTTGCAAGAAAATGTGTCAGTTTTGTCGACAGGAATCTTTTGCTGTAATCCAGTACACCAAACCAGTGTGGCACGTTAGTAGGCTTCAAAAAGTTGATCTGTGTACCTTTGGAAATGATCCAATATCAACTATTGGTCAAAATGATGTGAGGAGAGAGATTTTCAATATATGTGATGAGGATCATTTTGCATTGTTAATAAAGGCTGCAGTTTCTTGTTCTGTCTTTTCTGTTGTCTATTCTGGGTTAAAGAATCTTTGCACTCTTTCTGAAACACACAAGCCTTATTGTGTAAAATCTGAGTGTTTTAACCACATTAAAATATTGTTGCTCATGATAAACAAATCTGGAGTTAGGCCATGTTAGATTGAAATGGACATCTAGTGGAATGTGTTTTCTCACTTCTACCAATAGATGGTGGTATTGCTTCAGTCATGTCTTACTAAGAAAAGATATACGTTACTGATCTCATAAGGAAGACATTTACTATATGTTTCTTGTGTGTCCATATCACATTCTAAAACATGAAGTCTCTAGGTCATGTTGACAAAAACGGAACATGGATATTTATGTAACTGCCTTCTCTGCTTTTGCGTGTTCCACCCCGTAAAGGACAGTGGACAGTATGGAGCTGCTGACCTGTGCTTTGGTGACGGCCGTCCTCAGTAGCACCTATGCCATCCCGGTAACAACACTGACCTTGTCTATATAAACTTGACAATGCCTTTGAACAAACTCCTTTGACTTTGACAAGCTGCAGCATTCAAAAGTTGAATAAGTATTTTCTTTGCACTCCTCTTCAGGCCAGTGTACGGCTGGATGAGGGCGAACACATCGGGGACGCAGATCTGGACTCAGAGCCAGACCTAGAACTGGTATGGAGAGAGCTGTCGATGAGGTCGCACACATCCCAGAGCTCCAGCGAATCTCAGTCATCTGAGGAAACGTCCAGGGAAGAGACGCCTGGCCTGGACACACCTCCCACTGAGCTGCCCCCCTCGAGCTCTGCCTCTCCCACCAGCCTTCCTGTCGCCATGACCACCGGGCTCTCAGGGACGGACATGCCTACTGTGTACACTACTGTCCCAGGGCCGTGCCCCACCACTGGCTGTGTGACAGTAGACATCCCCACCGCAGAGGGTGACAATAGGGGCGATGCATAAGCACATGTCACACAGTCAGGGCCAGAAGTAATAGGACACCCACATAATTTTAATACTTTCTAAGTTTTTTAACTGCTGAATTCTTGCTCTTTCTAAGTGTACCAATTTGGATGTTCTTTTACTGTATATTAAGATTAAGGTATAGGGTAATTTGTCCTCTGTGTTCGGCCCATGCTGTTATTCCACTAAGGCAGAGTGGTCACAACTACCAGAGCTGGAGGGTTTTAGTAATTGTACATAAAGGTCATAAAGGAACTTATATGGAAATTCCATTCAGAATGGCTCTGTTCTGACCGGAACCTTAACCCAGAACCTCTTTGCTGAGTAGCAAGATTGCTAATGACGGCCACGTAGACGCCTCAACCCATCCAAATTGGTGAATTTTTGGACAAACTACAAAAAGCATAGGGTTTTGACTTATTAACCATTTTCCTTTTAAAACAAACTTATTTCTCATAAATAAGTGTTGGAAAAGTGTTTGCAGCCGGTAAAGTCAAATTTGATGTAAAAAAAACAAAGAATTCAACTCCCGTCCTTTGGTGGTAGCATAAAGAGTAACAGGCAGTTACCCTTCATACTTATAATAACAAATTATTCTACACTTATTCTTCTAATTTTAATGGACAAAAACAATAGATACAATTTATTTGTATATATTTTCTTAGATCTGAAGAAAATTGTTGGTATGCAAAAGTTATGAGATAATTTTATCAATTCAAATTCAGAAAAATCACTCTTTAATTCAATTTAAAGTCTCTATGAGACTTGGGTGGCATCTCTGATTGCCACCCCCCTGACCCAGAAATGGATTAAAGAGTAGAAAATGGATGGATGGACTTTAAAAAGTTGTCAATTCAACAACAAATCTGAGAATCAAACAGCAGGCTCCCCCTGGTCTTAGTCAGGGCATTAGCTATTTAGCTGTGTAATTGTAAGCTTGAAATGTTCTTTTTGGGAAGACCAGAGAGCAGGGCATAGCAGTAACCCATGCTGCTAATAAAGGCATGCATCTCTGTGTTTGCCCAAGAGAGAATTGGGCGAACTCTGGCTATGTTCTTTGAATAATAAAAACCTGTTTTCGTGATGAACTTCAGCTCATACACAAACACAAGTTTCTCACATAATGGATAAACAGCATGTGTTTGGTAAAAGTTTGGGTAAAAGTTTCTCTCTGGGCCTCATTGATGACTAAAATCTCAGTGTTGTCCTTGGTTAAGCTGGAGAAAGTTTTCTACCATTACAGGATTTAGGTTTAAAACGCAGTTAAAGAGAGAATCCGTTTGCCCGGTATCATCAGGAGACATGTATATGTACAGTTGTGTATCATCAGCTTATCATAGCTAATTCCATGTCTCCTAAAGACACCACTAAAATGGGACATGTAAGTAAAAAAAAAACTGGACCTAAAGTACACTTACCATAATTGTTCAAGTCACTTAAATTTATTTTTGTACAGCCCTACATCACAACAGCAGTCATCTCGGAGGACTTTACAAAGTTGTCGATTCACCAACAACAGAGCAAGGAAGCAAACCGTTCGAACACAGGAAATAAAAACGCGCATGAGCCCATTGGTCCATAGGAGGCGACCAATGTCCTTAAGTGTCCTTAAATGTCCCGGATCTTCACCACTGTTCTTTCTGTTAAATAGGAAGTGAACCATTTGAGAACAGCACCAGAGAGGCTGAGGTGTTCAAGGCGAGAGCAGTGTGGTCTACTGGATCAACAGCTGCACTTAGATCCAGTAAAACCAACACTGTCATCTTTTGTGGATCATAATTTAGTCTACAATCGTTTTATATCTTTGAGATTGCGGTTTCTGTCCTGTGATTCATCCTAAAACCAGACTGAAATGTTTCTAAAAGGTGTTTCTCATCTTAAAAGCTGAATTAAAAAGTGTTTCTCTAATGTTGTTTCAATAGGGTAAGTTGGATGCCTGGTGTTAAAATATTTCAAATCTAAATTGGTCTTGTTCTAAAGGGGTTCACCTCAGCGGTTTTGAAGGCACCAGGAAAGACTCCAGTGTGAAGAGAGCAATTCACCATGAGTAAAAGACTCTCTAAAAGACTAATGTGTGACTGTAAAGCAAAATAAAAATTTCAACTATTGAATTGCTTGTTAGTGTTGTTTCCATGCTTGCATTGTCGTGTTTGGGATGAGGGTGTTTTGTATTGCGTCAGAAGGATAATTGTAAAGGCGAGGCCTGTCAAGATTAATTGTAGAGCAGAATTCATACACAAGGCAGTGGCCAACAAACTTGGACTTCAGATGTAGTCTGTTCATTGGACTAGTGGGCAATACCCGCTCCCCGCCTGGGAGCCGCCTCAGTCCTGCATCTTGTGGCCTTGGTCCTAGTTCTAGGTCCTGAGTCCAGGATCTACAATCCGTCCGTTTGTGGGAGTGGCTCTGTCCCTCACATGGGCCTTCTCGAGGTTTTTCACTTTCTCTTACGGGGTTTTTCAGGATAAGATAAGAAAAGAAAAGAGAAGAGAAGCTAAATCTTAATTTGTCTCAGAGTGAAAAGATTATATAGTCATCATTGTGCACATTACAGCAGAATAGAACGAGCACATAAGAGCACTCAGATCCTGTTGGATGTATGCAACCTATCATTTCAGATGCTAGATAATGATATAAACAAATGAAGTAATAAGATAATAAATTACAACTATAGCTATAACTATAAGATAGATAGATAGATAGATAGATATGTACTTTATTGATCCCAAAGGAAATTGTGCACTCGTCCCTTGCTCGCAATCATACAAAGATACACACATAGGTTAGAATTAAAAGATGCAAAATAGTTAAAAACTATAACTATAACTATAGCTTCAACATTTGGTCTGTGGCCTCGAGTTTACTCATTACTGATGAATGTCCACCAGTGAGAACAACTGCTGTACTTTATGTCCCTGACACAGCGTACATGTCTTCTAAAGCTCACGCAGGGGCTGATTTCAGAAATGGGCTCGTGGTAGAAGCCTGCAGCCTGGACAAGCAAGCAGCCAGGTGCTCATCACCCCAAAATATGAAATGGGGCAATATAAAGCCTTAGCAGCCTTAGGGCTATTTTGTATTTCTTGCACTTTTTTAATTGTTGTGCCTTTTATTGACACCTGCTGTGTTAATGTAATTGTTTGAGAACACCATGAGATTTGTTTTGTTTGTATTTAAAGGAACTATACCTCATTTATTTTCTAATGAGTTCATAAAAATGCGTATTACGACATACATTCCCTCCTGTGGGCCCACCACCTGCAGAGGGGTCCGTGGTGGCGAGGTGCAGACAGGACTGGGCAGCAGTCCAAGGCGGAGACCTCGACGACCCAGTCCACACACCCAACCTGTTCCCGGTGCATGTTGGCCTCCGCCAAGGCTGCCCTTTGTCACCGGTTCTGTTCACTGTATTTATGGACAGAATCTCTAGGCGCAGCCAGGGGCCGGAGGGGGTCCGGTTCGGGAACCACAGGATTTCATCTCTACTTTTTGCGGATGATGTCGTCCTGCTGGCTCCAACGAACCAGGACCTGCAACATGCACTGGGACGGTTTGCAGCCGAGTGTGAAGCGGCTGGGATGAGAATCAGCACCTCCAAATCCGAGGCCATGGTGCTCGACCGGAAAAAGGTGCCTTGCCCTCTTCAGGTGGGTGGAGAGGTCCTTCCTCAAGTGGAGGAGTTCAAGTATCTCAGTATCTCAGGGTCTTGTTCACGAGTGAGGGGAGGATGGAGCGTGAGATTGACAGGCGGATCGGTGCAGCGTGCGCAGTTATGCGGTCTCTGTATCGGACCGTTGTGGTAAAGAGGGAGCTGAGCCGAAAGGCAAAGCTCTCAATTTACCGGTCAATCTTCGTTCCCTCCCTCACCTATGGTCATGAGCTGTGGGTAATGACCGAAAGAACGAGATCGCGGATACAAGCGGTCGAAATGAGCTTCCTCCGCAGAGTGTCTGGGCGCTCCCTTAGAGATAGGGTGAGGAGCTCAGTCACACGGGAGGAGCTCGGAGTAGAGCCGCTGCTTCTCCACGTCGAGAGGAACCAGTTGAGGTGGCTCGGGCATCTGTTCAGAATGCCTCCTGGACGCCTTCCTGGGGAGGTGTTCCGGGCACGTCCCACCGGGAGGAGGCCCCGGGGAAGACCCAGGACACGCTGGAAAGACTATGTCTCTCAGCTGGCCTGGGAACGCCTTGGGGTCCCCCCGGACGAGCTGGAGGAGGTGTGCGTGGATAGGGAAGTCTGGGCGTCTCTGCTTAGACTGCTGCCCCCGCGACCCGGCAACGGATAAAGCGGAAGAAAATGGATGGATGGATGGACGACATACAAGTTGAAATAAAAGCCGTAACTTAATTGAAAACTTGAGCTCATTGATTCAGCTTGTGTATGAATTCAGGCCATAAAAAGTGCGCGTAAAAATGTTGCGTGACGCCCGCTCTCCTCCAATCACAGAACAAGGAGCAGCGCTGTTACGAACAGGCTGCCTCCTCTAGTGTCGACAGCGCTGCTAAACCCAGCAGCATGGAGGCAGAAAGTGGCTATAACTCCTCTGGCTGTAACTGCATACACAGCAACACAGGCTAAACGACGCAAAAGCGAGGAGGAGAAGAAGGAACTAAAGCAAAAAAATTATCAAAGAAGAAATTAAGCCCGGGGGAACATATCTAGCTTACATTGTATCCTCTGGAGAGACCCGCAGGAGAGGGACTGCCTCGGACTACATTCGGACGCGACACTAGGGGTAGGGCTGGGCGATAAAACAATAACGATATATATTGCGATAGACACGTGTTCGATATCAATAGAAAAACGGGGTCGATAGAACTTCGATAGTTTCACTTCAGTCCGTTCGAACAAAACACAGGAAGTAAAGCCGAGTCAGAAGCGCACAGCATTCTGGGCGATGTAGGCAAAGGCTTCTCGACCTATCACAGCCAACTACAAACCGCAAAACTTTCAGGGAAAAGCAAAAAAACAACCGCACCATGCGTAGCGTCCATGGATCATGGATCTATTATAATTGCCATGGCTCTATAGATCGTGTTTTAGTGCCATGTCAATGGTTAAACACGTCCGTGTGAGGAACAGCATGTGCGGCGGGAGAGGCAGTGGGTACAGAGACTCCATGCATTCGGCAAAAGCAAGAGATTACCTTTTTCCGGAGCCGCCACGGGGACACAAGACACTCGAAAACAGCCAAAACAGGAGCTAAACCAGGATTAAACCAGGACTAAAGTGGGGGAGACTGCTTGTGAACATTTGGCTCCAGCCTCATTCCCCCGTGATTGTAAACAAGGCTGCTAACATGTGTTTGCCGACACGACAAATGTATTTATTTACGTTTTAAAAAATAAATAAAAAACACTCAATATATATTGTTATCGACCGATATGAATTACTTATATTGTGATATAGTTTTCAGCCATATCGCCCAGCCCTAACTAGGGGTAATCTTTCAGTTATATATTTTGTTAGCAGTGCGTTTCTTCCATTTCATCAGAAGTTGTTGCAGCTTACAATAAGTTGTGCTCATGCTAATGTTTGCATACGTATCAGATCGCAAATAAAACTGGATGACTCCGTGGGATGAGAGCGTAGGGGAGAGTAGGAGGGTTTCTCAAAATGGGAAGCCTTTGCGTGAGTTGGGGGGTTGCTAAACACCCAAACGGAAAAAACTTTTCAGAAATGGGTATAGCTCCTTAAATAATAATTTATTTTCATCAAACCATGTCGCTGATGATGCCTGTATTGTTACTCTAAAGTTTCTCATGTCCATATTGTTTCAAAAAGTGGCCGAAAGTGGAATGCAGAAGCCGAAGTGGGCCATGCGGTTAGCAGGTTGCAGCATCGAGAGATCGTGGGCAGAGTCCAAGCAGGAAGAGCAGGTCTAGGGTGGGGAGAGGCACCACGGTTTTGGTCAAAGGCCACTCGCAAGGAGAGGAAGGAGATGGTGGTGGCAGAAGTGACGAGGATGGAGGAAGAGCGCTATAAGATCAAGGCCGTCTCACAGGGCCGGCAAGGAAGATGGACAACTTGGGAGGGAGTTGTCGACCGCAACATCAGTTGGTCTGACCTGTGGAAGATCCCGCAGGCGAGGCTCAGCTTCCTTATCCGTTCAACCTATGACACGCTTCCCTGTCCTCGTAACCTGCACCAATGGTTTGGCCAATGAGGAATGCTGCTCACTCTGTAACGCTCCCAACGCAAGCCTTCAACACATCTTGTCAGGCTGCAAGATTGCGCTCTCCCAGGGACGCTACAGGTGGCGCCATGACCAGGTCCTCAGGAAGCTCGCCGAGGTCCTGGAAAGGTGCAGACAGGGTAACAAACAGCTACCACCAGCAAAGAGCCACACCAACTTTGTCAGGGAAGGGGATGGGCAAAGTTACACCAGGCCAAGAGAGACATCGCGGCCCTTTGCCCCCAACCAGGAGTGGGACATGAGGGTTGACCTTAACAAACAGCTCCAATTCCCCACGGAGATCACCATCACATCTCTCCGCCCTGACATTGTGGTTTGGTCTTCAAAGGCAAAAGTGGTGCATCTCATTGAACTCACAGTTCCATCAGAAGGGGAGATCGAGGCTGCCTACGAGCGCAAGAAGGCCAAGTATTCCGAGCTGGCTGCAGAGTGCCGGGAGGCTGGATGGAAGGCCGCCATCTACCCTGTTGAAGTTGGCTGCCGAGGCTTCGTGGGGCTGTCAATGATACGGCTCTTGAGGGATGCAGGAGTCACGGGGGGAAAGCTGCGCAGGGCCACAAGAGAGCTTTCGGAGGAGGCGGAAAAGGGCAGCTTCTGGCTCTGGTTGAGGAGGAAGGATAGGAGTTGGGGAAAGTATAGCTAACCTCAATGACAGCTGCGGGGGATAACATTCTCCAGCTGCAGGGAGTGACAAGGAGACGTCCTTGTCACTGCTCCGCCACCATGAGACGTTCCAGGATTAAAGGGGCGAAACGTTGGTGATTGGTGGTTCCTGGTTGATGACCCTGCAGCTGACCCTGCAGCTGACCCATGGGCACCGGAGGAGGTGCGACAGGCAGCAATGCTAAGCAGGAAATTACATCCACCTGTATACATCAACAAACAATCCAAAGAAACATTCTGAAAAAAAAAAGAAAAATCTGCGATCTTGAGAAAATAACATTATTTCTAGTTTATTTGTGCAGCATGTGCTAACAGAGACAGAAACATGGGATTACAGAAGTTTTATTACACAAAATAGGATGTTAGAATTCGACTGATACTGACAGAAAACGAATCTAACATAAGTGAAGAGACAATAAATTATTGTGTGCTATAACTGCAGTACACTCCATAAGAACAGCTCATACATACAAAAATATTCATATGAAGCAGCATTTGGTCATATTTGCCCTTAAAACATCTTTTGTACATTTTGTTATTTCATGTTATAGAATGTGGAATCATTGCTTATAATGAAAATAAGAGTGGAACAGAACAGATAATGAAGAAAAAGGTGTGAATTCTCTGCCTGCTATAGCCTCACCACTTCCTTGCACGTACATTTGGACATGCGCAGAAGCAAAAGCGGAAGCTCAACTAATGTTACACATGCTTCGGGTGCTACACGAAGCATGTGTCCAACCAAAATCATGCAAATCTCTAGTTTCAGTTTAAATTTTTGCTGATGCTGTTAAATGCAGAATTATGTTGGTTCGTTCTTTCACGTCTTTGCGGTGGCCTGAGGTGGAAGTTGCGCATGTTCAACTGCCCACTACTGGCCGGGTGCTAGAACTACATTGTTTTCTCCGTTGTCATGTAGACGCTGTGCGCTTTGAATGAGGAGCCTGATTGTTTTTGCTAATTGCTTTGCAGTGTCTCTGCAGTTCTTCCGTCAAAACAGGGCCTAAGAATGGAAGAGCAAGTTTGAAAGGAGGCAAAGGAGGCAATGGACTGATAGGAGCAGGGGATGTGTATGTATCTGCATACCTCCAAAAAATATTCATGTGTTATTTCCATCTCATTGGACTTGATGTAGTGGCTAATTGTCTGCAGTGTGGATCACTTCTATAGTCATTTCCAAATCTTTTGTATAGAGTTGAAATGAACAAAAAGCTGGAATTATAAATAATCAATGTTGAGAATGACTCTTGAACAGAAGTTGTCTTGATCGCAAACACTGTAGAACCTTTCCACTCTTTTGATTGATCAGAATTAATCAAGTCCACTGACTTAAAAAGTGGGGGCTGTTTCCTGCCTGTTCATTTATTGTAAACATTACAACAAAGTGCCGATAGAGCAGCTCATAGCAGCAGATCAGGAGTCCTTATTTGTTACAAAATACTGTGTGACGCTTCCTAATTAAACATGTATCACACATTTAAATTAAACATTAAAATTAGTTTGTCTTTTGTACATAAAAGACATGGCACGCAACATTAGCAACAGCTTTACCAATTTAAAGAGTTCTATGTAATCGGGTCCTTTGACAATTGGATTTCGATTTATTACTTTTTCATGCACATTCCTGTCACTGAACATCATGGAAGCAGAATGGGGATAGTCAAAGCAATGGCAGCTGGAACACAATACAATATAAATGCCTCTAACAGGTATTGCCTTTGTAGGTTTTGGTACTTGAGCACAAAATCAAACTATACTTTCATGTCAAGACAAATAAGCAGCACTCTGGCGTTCAATACAAGGCCACCAGCGCCATCTCTTGGTGTCAGTTGGAAATACAATGTGACTGTGGATTATGTTCCAGTTTGAAGATGATTGTGTCAGCACAACTCTGCTGCTCCTTGGTCAGCACAACATGTTACCTATTTATGAGTGTGACAACAACATCAGAGGGTGGGCTCAATTATTTCTTTCTTTATTACATGTTTCATTTTTTATTATCCTGCACGCTCATTTTTTTTATATATACGTACTACTACAACCTTTGAACCAAGTTTTTAGTCTTAAAAGGTCTTTGCAGCTCTGTCAATGAGTATGTTTACAAATGATAAGAATGTAGAGTAGATTAAGATACCTGCATTGCTAAAAACTAGTACCACCACTGTGGTCCGGTCTCCTTGCACCGCTGAGAAGATGGAGCCAGTGTCGCTTTGTCTCAATCTGCTGGCCGTGCCAATTTACATGGTCGCATGCAGCAAAAATTTAGGAGCAATGGTTTATCCAGTTACACCAAACTGACGGGTTTTTCACACCTCAATCGGTGCACTCTGATGTGCATGCTTCTTGCTCAATCAGATTAAATTGGACTATTGGGGTTTGTAAACGTACTCAATGACATAACAAATTGGACTGAGCGTTCTGGGGATGGGGAAGGCTCTTGATGTTAGTGTGGTCTTAAAACACCTCCAAGTCCTATTTTAATGAGAGAATAATTCTGCAAAAACTTGTTCTTGCAGACAGTGTTTTCAAAATAAATAAAACTGCATTTGGGGTACGGGCTGGTGGCGGCGCCGTGGGAAGATTGTCTATGTGGGCGGGACTTATTTTGCAGTGATGACCAGAGGCAGGTCGGTGGTGAGGACTGGCTCCTCTAAAAGGCTCTCATCACTGTCGCTCTCATCTGATTGGCTGTCAGCCGCTCCGGGGGTGGTTATGGCCTCCTCGCTGCTCTGACTAGGGCTTTCCTCCTCTGGGCTCTCGGCACTGGCACTTGAGATGTCCTCGTGGGTGCTGCTGGAGCTGATGCTGTCCGCCCTGCATAAACACACACACACACATATGGTTTTCAAGCTGTAAGAGGGATTCATTTAATGCAGTCCTAATTTAAAGTTAAAGTTTGCCGCAAAATGTTTTTCTCTTCTTTTTCTTATCTCAGGTATCTCTAAAACATTGTCTCAGAGTTCCAGTACTCCCTAAATACTAAATCTATTGGTATTATGACATGTAATGATAACATCCATACCTCCATTTTCATACACTTAATCCATTTCTGGGTTGGGGGGCTGCTCAGTCAGTGATACCACAGGCTTGGTTTCTCTGTGGAGGCTTCAGGCAAAGTGGGTTTAAGTGTCTTGCCCAGGGATACAACGACAGCCAGCAGTCATCAGTGGGATTAGATGGTTGGTCTCGTGAGGGGAACGAAACCCACGACCATCAGGCCCAAAGACCAATGCTCAACCAACTGAGCTACGGTCGCCCCTTAATGATAAGTTGTTTTATGATATTTATGTAGAAAACTAAAAAACAAATAAATTAACCATCTATAAGCAAGAAGGCTGCAGAATTATTATTTTTTCTGTTTGGTGTAGAAACTCCAACTGCTGCAGTATTAACATACTCTTAATACTGATTTTGAAAACCCTGGTTTTGGAGTGAATCTTACACCTTAGCCCTCCTTGCCTTAAAACATGATCATGAGTTGAAATCATCACACCTTATATTAAAAAATCCCACTTCCAAATTATGGGATCTTTTGATAAAATAACTTTTACAACACATGAATTAGTTTCCGATCCCTACAGAACTATTGCATGTTTACTCTTCCCAGTGGGGTTTCCCTTTCTTTGTAGAAGAAGGTTGCCAAAACTCACAGCAACAAATCCTGAAACTCCATGGTCAGAATGGCATTGACCAGCAGTTCAAAAGGCATAAGTCTCAAGGGTGAAGCATTATACACTGGAGATATGAACTGTTCATGTTGTTTTCATGTTGGCGATCACAATAGCAATGCCTATGTGGTAGTTTAAAACAAGATAAAGATCAACAATCAGTGAAAAAATGGTACTCCCTCAATGGTCCAGTAGTGACAAAAGCCGTGCAGTGGAAGTTATTTTATGTTTTATTTTTTCTATTTCTATTTGTTGTTGAGAATGATCTGTCAGTGATTACCAGAATCCAATATGTTATAGAGTGTTTCAAAGGGCACAGATTCTAAAGAAATGTTTTAACACAAACCAGGCAGAATAGAGCGAGTTGAGTGAGGTGTGAATTTACTTTGCCTGAGGTCCCTCCTCCTCGGTGGTCCCGGAGCTGTCACTGGTGCTGCCACTGCTGCTGCTATGGCTGAGGCTGCTGTCCATGTCCGCAGAGGCCTGGCGAGGGCTCAGGTCTTGGGACAATCTTGATGATGTGTCCAGGCTCTGGCTCTCCACCTCCGGAGTGCTGGCGCCCTCCTCCAGCAGCTCCTGGTGCACATGCACACCCTGACACAAACACACACACACGATGATGGACATTCACTTGCATTGAAAAGTTGCCTTTGTATACCTGTACCTGTTTCCGACCTGCGCCTGCAGTGATGCCCCACCTGACTGAATCCACCTCTTAAAACCATTAATATGATGCCATGGCTCTACAGATTATGCATTTAGACCAAACCTGGCATTGTATCATCTTCACATTTAATCAAGTACAACAGAATGAATGTGTATTATGGTGCTTTCAGACCGGATCATGCGTTGCGTCGGCTTTCAATGCAAAATCTATGGTGACGAGCGTTCAAGCGTCACAACGCACAGACCTCTCGGCACACACGGACGGACTGCTCAGTAGAGACGCACGGACTTGGCGGGAAAGTCAAAGGGGAGGAGCAGGAGCGAAAAATTGACGCCCACAAGAGATGGATTCTGCTCATCCTTTCCTTGGGACGTTCATGCAGCGACCAATCAGAGAGCCGCAAAGTGGTCACGGGGACATTAGCGGACTGAGCGAGCAGACTGAAAATACTCGTAAACAGCAAAAACAGCAAAAACAGGACTTGACAATGGGGGACTGTGTGCTTGTTAAAATATGGGTTTTCATGCTCCCGTGACCTTATGCAACTGCTTCGAGTGTGTTCGCCGATGCGGAAATACCGTTTAATAATATGAAAACACGTATGGCACACCACCGTGAACACATACTACTGTTATATAAAGTCCGTGGAAGGTCTCTGTTCAAAGACACGCTGCAAAGCTGCATATTGGAGAAGATCTGTACACAAGAAGCCGCTAGCTAAACTCTGCTTGCATCAGAGCCGGCCGGCTACTTCCGGCACTTCCGTTGCGTGTCAGGACATCTCGGTGTGAAGACTGCGTCTGAAAACTAGAGAATGCGCGTCTGGTGAGCGGGGCTTCAGCATTTCAGTTAGACTACTGAGTTTTATTCATACAACAGAATGAGCTTTAAAAAGTTTGTCCTCAAAACTGCACAGAGCGGTTGATCTAATCAACCCCACCAGTGTCACAGAAACATGATATTACAAACAAACTATTAACTGGGAAACAGTTTGCAATACCTCTAGGGGCCTGCAGCCAGGGGTCCTGTTTGTTGTGACAAAATGTATAGCATGAAATTAATAATGCAATTACCTGTGATTAATTTGGTCATTTTGAATCGTGTTTAATTTCCCTTAGATTTGATTTGAAATTTTTATTTTTGAATTCCCGACTTTAAATCACAATGTGACAAATAATAACTGCTCTTCAATTACCAAATTCAGCACAAGCAGGCATGGACCAGCCTTGCTCTGCATCGGCTCTTTGGTTGCTATACGGTTACTATAGAGAATTTGGCTCCAAGGAGCTTGCTGAAGTCATTGTCTAGTCAGCTTCTTCTGTGAAAGTCCAAACAGTGTGTGAGATGTGTTTGTACCTTGTAGAGCTTGAAAGCTTTGTGCACGTCGTTGTCGTGGGCGGGCTCGTAGTCGCTCTTCTTGCTGACATAGTCCCAGGACTTGTAGGTTTCTGGCTCTTTGTGGTAGGACTTGTCTTCCACGTACACAATGCTCTTGTACTCGCTGGGATAGGAGCCCAGGCTGTCTCCACGACCAGAGTCACCTGCGTTGTCCGTCACAATGGTGGGGCTGATGGGGTCTGGGGTCATCTCCTCCACCACGGTTGCTGTGGTGACGTCTTCGGTCACAATCACCGGAGAGTCGGTGGCTGTGGAGACAGTTGAGGCCTCACCAGACTCAGAGCTCTCTGACTCCTCAGTATCCTGAAACAAGTCGTTCACACTTGTTGTTCTAGAAGATTCTCCTGACCAATTTATTTCAAAGTTAAAGAACACGTGTCCTTTAAACATTTAAAACATGTTTTAAAATGTGACATCATGATAAGTAGAATGTTTATAACCAACACTAACCCAGTGTGCAGTTAAGACCTCAAGCTTGTTAAAGGGATGTATCCTTCTCTGATCAGAGGAAGGTTGCTCACCCGCAGTCTCAGAAACCACACCACAGAACTTTCGATGCATTGTGTACTTCCTATCTGATGTTTTTATAGATGTTGCATTGTATTGTCTTGTCTAATGTGTGTATGCTTACGGTCTTTGGCAGAATACGTTCGAATGAATAAATTCTTACGCCCTCATCCTTGTCATCGTCCTCCTCTTCATCATCATCATCATCGTCGTCGTCATCGCTTTCCACACTATCAGGGCTCTGTGTGGAGACCGAGGTGGAGGCTGTCGCAGACACTAACTCGGACAAGGATTCCAAGATAGCAGACTTCACCTGCACCGCGACATCTGCAACCACCTGTCACACACCACACATACCACCTCCAATCAGCAACGTCCCACCTCTGCCCAGCCCCAGAGATCTACGAACCATAATGTTTATTTTAATTTTATAAAAACTTTTGTTGTGCTCACTATCCGTGGGTGGTTATCCCTCTCTCAGCCTCTTCCAGAGGCCAGAGAGCTTGGGTTCTGAACACTATCTTTGCTGTTCCTAGCACTGTACATTTCTGGACCGAGATTTTCGGGGTTGTTCCAGGAATCTGCTGTAACCCCTCCTCCAGCTTCGGGGTCACTGCCCCGAGTGCACCAATCACCATGCACACTACCGTCACCTTTAACCATCCAGGCCCTCTTCTTTCTGAGCGTCTTTCCCTGACCATTGCTTGTAATTGCCCTTTGTCTGCCACCACAGGGTCTGGTTGTTTTGCCTTTACGATCTTGTTTGTATCATCACCATCTGTAAGTCCCACAGGATCTTCGCACGCTCATTCTCCACCACTTTTGGAGGAGTTTCCCATTTACACCTTGGGATTTTCAGGATATACTCTGCACAGATGTTTCTGCACACGATACCAGCCACTTGGTTATGGCGTTGTATGTAGGCCTTCCCTGCAGCATCTGCAGTTATGTGTTTTAGATTGTTTCAGGTGCACAAACAACGCCTTGGGTCTTGTCTGGTGTGGTATATCTGGGCCTCTATTGCTCTGGTGCTCAGGGCCTGCTCCTGTGCAGCCATGATGAGTGCCTCTGTGCTGTCCTGTAGGCCAGCCCTTTCTAGCCATTGGTAGGACTTCTAGATCAGCCACTACTGCTATGGTCTGGGGGAACTTGACATGTAAGGGCTTGTCCTCCCATGATGGACCCTCCTCCATCACCTCCTCTGAGACATTCACTGAATACGTCATCTGTTTGGGCCTTCTCCTCGATGTAGTAATGGAGTTTGGATGCTTTTAGATAGCAATTCTCACGCTCACTAGTCTTTGGCCTCTTTCTTCACGGGTTGCATGCGGTTTCAAGGTGTTTTATTTATTTATTGTTTTATTTTTGGACACAACAGTTACAAAACTGTTTAAAAAAATTTACAAATATAAAAGTAATCAAATATACAGTTCATTAACCATGTGAACTACGTTGCTCCAATTTCAGCCACAGATTCTGATGTCTGACGATGTTTAAGTCTGTTTGTAGTTTTAGGTCAGTGGGAAGAGCGTTCCACAGTTTGGCTCCCTTGAAGGAAAAGCTGAACTGTCCCAACGATGTTCTGGACTTAGGAACCAGACAGTCCCCACTGACCGAGGCTCTGGTGTTAGGCCTTTGACTGCCTTGACGTCTGACAGCCAGACCAGAGAACAGCGGTGGAACATGATCAGTTAAACATTTTAAACAGTTCATTTATTTATTTACTTATTCATTGGGAGAGAATATGTTTTTATTATGTCATTGTAATCAAAATTGAAAAAATCAACTGTGAGATGTTTTTCCTATTTGAAAAACTGAAGCAATTAATTGATTGATAAAGTAATTTTAAGAAATTTGATTTGTGATTGTCTGTATATGCATGTTAAATGGCAGTGATGAGTCAGCCATAAGGCAAGATATTTGAACCGATCAGCAACTGCCAGTTGAGCACTCTCTGTGTCAATGCGCCATCTTGAAATACAGTGGTTGATAGGGGACCAAAAGGAGTTTGAGAGGGAGTTGGGGACTACTGTTAAAGACGACATTTTGTCCCTACTAAGCTATTGCAGTATAGTAAATAGGGGTGGGAATCTAAGGGTACCTCACGATACGATACGCGATACAAAGCTCACGATAACGATTATATCACGATAACAACTATATCACGATATAGTTAATGCCTTTTTACATCTTGGCCAGGGGACTACAGATGAAAAATAGCCTTCTGGCTAATTCTGGCTTTTTTAACCATGTTTGTTCATGTGTTACATGAAATTGCACTGTCCCCTTTCAAATAAACCAATCTAATCTAATCTAATATGACGATTATCGATAAATTGGTCAGCAATATGCCATTATATGGCATACATAAAATAGAAAAATGTTTTGTGAAAAAATACACTTTATTTCATGATAAATGGAATGGAGATGTTTAATGTAGCCATATATCGAGTACTGATACTAATTAAAAAATTGAAAAAAAAAACACAATGATTTTTTTTTTCTTCGAAAAAAAAAGTAAATTGATACTTGGCAAATGCATATCGATAATTGATCGCGGGAGAACGTCACACTCCTAATAGTAAATATGACAATTTATGATCTCAACGCTAGATGGATGAAGATTAATGTAATTAAAAGAAAAGGATGGACTCTCTCGTGGAAGAATATAAAGTTTTATTTAGATTTATTGAGTAACAATTTGTTAGATTGTAGCCGGAGTTGAACTAAATTAAAGTCAAGTTGAAAAGAATAAATCCTGTCATCGGCACAGTGCCTTAAGTGTTACAGTCTTTGCACTTCCTCATTGTGTGCCATTGACCCAGACGTCTATTGTATCTAATATGTATGGGGATGGCTTGAGACCATATTTTATCGAGCCAGCAGGTGGTAGCATTTCTCTCTGAATGGTTTGAAAACAGTTAGGTGCACATGTTGTGCCTCTTATTTCTCAACTTTCTGGTGATTTCAGAAAAACTTCCCTCTACTCAACGAAGGATTACAGGGGAACAAAACAAGCTAGAAACAAAATTATTTTTGCTGATGAAAGTAGACAGTCCATTCTTTTATAATCTGGTGTCGGATTTCACAATATTCTGTGGGTCTTTAAAATCAGTAAAAAACCATCAGAAACGGCTGGCAATATGGAAGTACCTGTTCTGAATGTACCTTTCGGCACACTCAATCTGCACGAGGATTTAGAGAAGCTGCCTTTGTAAAAGACACTCTGTTGTCGATGAAGGTAAGAATTGAAACTGAAGAGTTAACTACACAACAATAATACAAATAGCTATAGACCAATCTGTTGCACTATAGTCTGTGGCTTCAGAGTGAAAGATGAGTCGTGTAAGATTTCACCTGTTCTTCTGATGCTTGACTGCTTTCATCACTGCTGCTGGACACTGACACATGCTGAAACACAACCAAACATGACTTTTACTGTTTAAAAACAAGATAGCACCCATTGGCTCCTCTGACCACCATGACACGCTCACTGATCTTATACTTTGTTCACCCATTGTTTACTTCAACAAAATCTGTGATATCCAGATTTCACAAATTCATAAACAATTTTAAGTTTTCCAACTACTTTCACTGCGCACTTGTTCACTCACTCATTCATTCATGAATGATAATTAATTTTAAACATTGCATTTTGGTTGCTCATCCCTGCGGCTTCCTGTTCCACCTTTACCGTAAGTAACCCGCTTTTAATGTGCTTTACCGCGACGGCGAAATGCCGGGCCACTTTACCGCGGTGAAAAACTTGATTTCCACTACAGACCTTTCTTGAGTGAAGGTTCCCGGGTTTTCTATGAAGTAAGAATAAATGTCCCTGAGTCCCAGTCCCAGCAGATCGGTGCCAAAAGAGGTGAGTCTGACCAATGTTTCTTCTCGTCATCCCAGGGCTCTTATGGGCTTTGAATTTGTTCAGTTTGGTTTCATATACTTATTTTTAGCTTGTCTTTATATCTCCTCTGATCTTCTTGCGTTAAAGTGCTTATATACAGTGCTATTCGCCCACTGAGTCTTTTAAAAGTACTGGTCGCATCCATGCTTCAGTCTTTCTGCCACAGAGCGAGGGGCGCACGTGTGCACAAAGATCCACCGGTAACGCTTTATATTAAGATGTGCTTGTTAAGTATTAATAAGGTATTAATAGACAATAGCAACATGCTTATAGATTGCTTATATGTACTTATAAACATATTAATAAGCTGCTCATTTCACTATTCTCTAAATGATGTTGTTCTAGTTATATGCTTTTAAGCATTTAATAAGTAATTAGTAAGATACATTTATATATTTATAAATATATGAATAAGCTGCCTATTAAACTATTATCGATACCATGTTAATAGGCCACTAACAATATTCCTATAAAGATATTAATACGCTGCTTATTAATAGGTAATAGTGGTAATAGGCCACTAAAAAAACTGCTTATTACACTATTATTACTGCTTATTACACTATTTTGCAGTACCTTAATCTAAAGCGAGGAGCATTTTTGTTAATGCAGAAAAAAACACAACAATGATCTGAGATGTTTTTATTTATTCAAACAGCAACAATTACAGTCTAAATGAAAAAAAAAATCAAAATGAAGTTTGTGCCAAAAGTTTGTTTGTAACTTCAAGGTGCCATGATGCCCCCCACTCATGCTCCGACCTGCTCTGTTCATGAATTTGGCTTTGGCAAAACAGTGAATCAACTGACTTCACGAGCCTGAGAGATTAGCGGAACTCGCCTATTTTTGGGCATTGTCTGGTCCTCCCGGTTCTGCGCAGTGGACGAGCTCCCATGATGCTTTGCGCCAAATACGCGTGCGTGGCTGTCATGCACGTGCACAGAGGGGCCGTGCTCTGACCAATCAGAGCTGCTGATCAGAGCGAGAGTTAGAGCGGGAGCCAGACGAGTAGAGTTTGTGGCAGTAAAATGTGGATTTAAAGGACAACTCACCCTCAAATCCACTTTTTTTTGCTTATAAACGGTATAAATGAGTGTCCAATAGTGTTGTCTACATATCCTGGTCATAATTTTGTCACTTTGGTGCAAATTAGTTGAAAGTTAAACTTTCTGCCTAAAACCGTCTGTGAGGCGCCATCTGCTGGCGACCTGTATTACTACATTTGAATTTTGAATCTGGCGCCTGAGACCTGCAGCCCCCCGCCCAGAGCTATATAAACAGCCCAGTCTCGTTCACGCCCCCTTTAGTCCTCCAGGCTACGCCCATTTAGAGGAAGATTTGAACAGGAAATGTGAGTGACGTAAGCTCCGAGGAGCGGGGGTGAGAACCACTTTAAAAAAAACTGAAGGATTTAAGAAGAAAAAAAGTTCAGGATGACAAGGGACACTGAAATCCCCAGAAAATCTGAACTTTATGAAAGCTGTGGCGACTGCTGTTGTGATTTAGGGCTGTACAAAATGTATTTCGTTGAATTTAAATTGAATGGCTAATGTTTACTGTACACTGTCCCTGTAAAAATAAAAACCATACCATACCATACCATACCATACCATACTCTGATCAGTACCTCTGATTGGTCAGAGCGCGGCCCCTATGTGCACGTGCATGACAGCCACACACGCGTATTTGGCGCAAAGCATCATGGGAGCTCGTCCACTGCGCAGAACCGGGAGGACCAGACAATGCCCAAAAATAGGCGAGTTCCGCTAATCTCTCAGGCTCGTGAAGTCAGTTGATTCACTGTTTTGCCAAAGCCAAATTCATTAACAGAGCAGGTCGGAGCATGAGTGGGGGGCATCATGGCTCCTTGAAGTTACAAACAAACTTTTGGCACAAACTTAATTTTGATATATTTTTTCATTTAGACTGTAATTGTTGCTGTTTGAATAAATAAAAACATCTTAGATCAATGTTGTGTTTTTTTCTGCATTAACAAAAATGCTCCTCGCTTTAGATTAGGGTACTGCAAAATAGTGTAATAAGCAGTTTATTAACTCATATTTTAGTGGCCTATTACCACTATTACCTATTAATAAGCAGCTTATTAATATCTTTATAGGAATATTGTTAGTGGCCTATTAACATGGTATCGATAATAGTTTAATAAGCAGCTTATTCATATATTTATAAACATATTCCTCCTTTAATAAGTATCTTACTAATTACTTACTACTTATTAAATGCTTAAAAGCATATAACTAGAACAACATCATTTAGAGAATAGTGAAATGAGCAGCTTATTAATATGTTTATAAGTACATATAAGCAATCTATAAGCACGTTGCTATTGTCTATTAATACCTTAAAGTATTAAATGGGTTAACCCATTTAATCCCATTGGTCACAATAGTGACCGTAATTTTTTTTTAACTTAACAAGCACACCTTAATATAAAGCGTTACCGATCCACCTATTTCTCTGGCATTGGGTTAAGTGCAAAGCAATACTGTATGTAATAACTGATTACAGAAGTTTTATCATGTTGTTTTAGTTCAATTTTGAAATGTACAATGTTCTTAATATATAGAATTAATTCAGATATTTTTACCATTTACAAGGTAATAATACACATTGTAGTGAGAAGGCATACATCTTTTGACCGTCCGTTACATTGATTAAAGTGCGAGATCTGTGTATTTAGATGACAAACAATTGTGGGACACAGTAGTTGGCTCTATTCAATGATGAGAGACACACATCTGAGACGCCAACACACTACATCCAGCTGACCTTGCACAGGGAAAGTTTTGGCCACTACATGTTGCATGTTATGTACTGACCTGTGGAGAGGAGGACAGAGACCCTGAGGAGGAGGGTGACACCAGAGCAGTCTGTGGACTGAGTGCCAGGCTGGGACGTCCCATCTGTGGACACACAACAGTGAGTGCAGTGCAGAGTGTGGAGTCAATGCATCATCATCATTGTGGGGGATGTTGTGTATCGGGTGTAGTTCTGACTGCCTCACTCAACCCAGAAATTGATTATTTATTTGTGTATGTAAACGTATATGTAAATAAATGTAAACACATATAAACAATATTAACTTCTTGAAAAGTGAAAAAGTACAATAGTGACTCACCTCCTCAGAGCTCTCGGAGCTGCTCACAGAATACTTCCTTGCCTGAAACACACAGACTTTTGTTACTCCACACTCCACAACCTGTAACTGTCTCATTAGTGAGCAGTAACTGTCTCATTAGTAACTGTCTCATTAGTAACTGTCTCATTAGTGAGCAGTAACTGTCTCATTAGTGAGCAGTAACTGTCTCAGTAACTGTCTCATTAGTGAGCAGTAACTGTCTCAGTAACTGTCTCATTAGTGAGCAGTAACCATCTCATTAGTGAGCAGTAACTGTCTCAGTAACTGTCTCATTAGTGAGCAGTAACCGTCTCATTAGTGAGCAGTAACTGTCTCAGTAACTGTCTCATTAGTGAGCAGTAACCGTCTCATTAGTGAGCACTAACTGTCTCAGTAACTGTCTCATTAGTGAGCAGTTATCGTCTCATTAGTGAGCAGTAACTGTCTCAGTAACTGTTTCATTAGTGAGCAGTAACCGTCTCATTAGTAACTGTCTCATTAGTGAGCAGTAACTGTCTCATTAGTGAGCTGTAACTGTCTCATTAGTAACTGTCTCATTAGTGAGCAGTTATCGTCTCATTAGTGAGCAGTAACTGTCTCAGTAACTGTTTCATTAGTGAGCAGTAACCGTCTCATTAGTAACTGTCTCATTAGTGAGCAGTAACTGTCTCATTAGTGAGCAGTAACTGTCTCATTAGTGAGCAGTAACTGTCTCATTAGTGAGCAGTAACTGTCTCATTAGTGAGCTGTAACTGTCAAAGAAATGTCTTTGTTTAAAATGCCTCCAGTGACAGAGCAGAGATGGACCATGTGAGTTGGAAGGGAAGTGGGAAGACAGAGGTATAATTAGAACTGAAGGGAAACAAAAGGCTGGGACATCAGGACACGTAGAGGAGACTCACCGGTCGGCAGAGGACTGTGGTGAAGAGCAGAGCGAAGAGTAGAGGGGCCTTCATCTTGAACCAGAAACTGCAACAGGAGACACATGTTCACAGTCAAAGCAGAGAGGACTTCCCACTTACTTCCTCCAGCTCATTCGAGGGAATCGGAGAGAAACACACTCCCTCTCAATGTTGCTCAACGTCTTCCTCCCAGTGGGACATGCTGTACCTGGAACACCTCCCCACCAAGTGTCCAGAAGGAATCCGAAACAGACTCCTCTTGATGTCGAGAAGCTGTGGCTTTACTCCGAGTTCCTCTCGTGTGACCTCACCCTATCTCTAAGGAAAGTCAGTGTCATGACCCAAGGCCTGTGACCATAGAAATCGAGAGCTTTGCCTTTCAACTCATCTCAGTCTTCACCAGAACAGTCCATTACTGCACACGCTGCACCAATCCTCCATCCTTCTTTGTCGACTAAATCAGTACTAAAGCAGGGCTAAAGGGGGGTTAGAACAGGACTTAAGCTGGTCTAAAACTGGACTAAATGAGGGTTAAAGTGGGTATAAAAAAAATCTGGGCTAAAGTGGGTCTAAAGAAGGACTAAGGCAGGATTAAAGCAAACCTAAACCAGGTCTAAAGCAGAACTAAAGCATGTCTAGAGCAGGACTAAAGCAGCTCTAAAGCGGAATTAAAGCAGGACGAAAGCAGCTCTAAAGCAGAACAAAAACGGAACTAAAGCAGGACTAAAGCAGCTCTAAAGCGGAACTAAAGCAGGACTAATACAGGTCTAAAGTAGGACTAAGCAAGTTCTAAAGCAGGCGCCATAGGCCTTGGTGGTTATAAATATAGTTGGGCGTGTGTAGTCAGAGGAGTTTGTGGCTTTGAGAGCTTTCCTCTTTTAACCTGCTCAATTACACAGCACACCAGAACTCTTCCACTGCACTTGAACACACAACGTCCTCAAATGTAGAGCGCACACACAGACAGTAACACATTATTGCATACCTCACATATCGTCACCTTCCGAGGGGTGTACCTAACTTTTTTATTTATTTATTTAAATGGGAGTACAGCAGGACTGTAAATACACCAGATTGAAGCCATGTGTTTATTTCTGGAGTCCCCCAATCACACTTATAAACACACATTCACCCTGAACTATTGTACATGTACTGATGGTAGGGGTAATCGGAGCACCTGGAGAAAGACATGTGTGCAGACCCGAGGCACATGTGCAAACTCCACACAGAGAGGCCACACCTGGAGGTAGAATTGAACCCTGGACCTTCTTGCTATGAAACATTTGGTAAATTCCCGAAACTTCATATTACAGTAGTCAGAAGTTCTATAAAGCCTCATCACACTTTCAATCAAACAGATCATAAATATGGAAGTAGATTCAATTAATCTTTACTGTCTCTTGACAGAGAAATTTGAACCTTAGTTCATTTACTCCTCATTAACATAGCAAACAAAAACACAACAATGCCAATTACCGTGAACTTGAGAGAGAAGAGAATATGTATACATGGATAAGTACAACCAAGATTTTCTATAATATCACTTTAAGCAATTATATAAGCAATGAATAAGTTATATTGTATGTAAAAATCACATTTCTTACTGTTTTGTACAATTCATAAGAGCAATCTCTCTGGGAATCATACATTTTTTATATCTGTTCAGTTTGGCACTCTACAACGTCTGGGCGGCACGGTGGCTGAGTGGATAGCACTCTCGCCTCTCAGCAAGAAGGTCCTGGGTTCGAATCCCGGTCGGACCAGGGCCTTTCTGAGTGGAGTTTGCATGTTCTCCCCGTGTCTGCGTAGGTTTCCTCCGGGTACTCCAGTTTCCCCTACCACTAAAAATATGTCCAATAGTTCTGGCATGCGCCTCCTGTACTGGCGACCCCGCTCCCATCTCTGTGTGGAGTGAGAGACAAATGCCCAAAAATTAACAATTGTAAACCGCTTTGAGACTCAGATCTGCAGTGAAAAGGCGGTATATAAATAATGATTACTACTGCCGAATGTGGCACAGTCTAAGTCCTGTAGGAGTGGATCCTCTTCCAAAAAGTGAGGTTTCACACTGTTTTTTGAGGGTCTAAGGACAGTGATGATCTGAGACATTTAAGGACATTTATGACTATTAACATTTATGGGCATTGGTTATCCTGCTTCCTATGGACCAATGGCTCGTATGTGTTCATTTGTTTCTTATCATTGTATTTCCTGCGTTCAAACTCTGAACTTTGAAAAGTCGTTTGAGGTGACTGCTGTTGTGATTTAGGGCTGTACAAAATGTATTTCGTTGAATTTAAATTGAATGTCTCGCATTGCAGTTCATTGCTCTTGTGTCTTGGCTTTTCAACCCAACGCAATGAGTGTCACTTCTTGCAGTCGTTTGCCCATTAAAAAAAGCTATGCCTCTAAATTAGTAGAGCCACTACTGCTCCACGTCCATAGAAAGAAGTTGAGATGGCTCATGCATCTGTGGAGGCGATCTCTGGGAAGGTGTTCTGGGCATGTCACATTGGGACGAGGTGAGGGGAAGTGTAGGACCTGGCCTGGGAACATCCTCAGCATGATGGAAGTCTTAGCGTCTCTGCCCAGACTTCTACCTCTACCTGGGATTTTGTTTTGTTACCACTGGAATACAAAGACTCCAGGCTGATCTTCACTCATTGTCATATTGTTCCACCCCCCACTGTGGTGTACTTTGTAATGTTTGTGTCATTGCTTGCATTTGGGATTTTTTGTCACTTCTGCTCATGTTTGGGACATATGTGTACTCCCTATGTTTGAAACATGGAATGTTTTTGAAAACCATTTTATAACATGGAATGATCACAATTTTTTGGAAGATGTGGAGCACCAAACTATTCCTCTGAAAGTGGTGGACCTCCCTCCGCGCCCTGTCATTTCTGCCCACTTCCTCCTGCCAATCGTCCAATCAGGGGCCGCCCTCCACTTTGCCATTCTGTAAAATGGCTTTAAAAAGAAGTGCTCATTTTGCAGCTCTAACTAAAGCCTTGGCATGAGCAGAACATGCAATAACACCGCTGGAATAACACCAGTGCATCCCACACAGGCAAGAGACGTCCTACTACTACTTACCACGAACAATGAAAGTCCACAAAGGAGACATATTCAGAAAAAGCGTCCTGTTTGGACAGTGTTCCTCATCCAACATGGAGCCATAGCATCCGGTTCTCTGTTCGTTTTGGACACGATGAACAACAAGAGAACATTGGAGACAGTTCCAAAACTACTTTAAAGGCAAAACCTTTTTTTTTTTAAAGCAGAAAAAAGCTTCACGACATCATATTCTGAGGATTGGTCATAGTTGAATATGTTTGAAAACAGCACACACACGCGGGCCTGCGGGCCAAATGCAAGTGTTTTTGTACCTTATATATGATTTTCTATTCTCACTTCAACTTGCGCCATTGATAATAAGAGGTTAATTTGTCAGTCTGTCAATACCAACTGAACTCATTTTGTTCAGAAATATCTACCAGAAAAGAATCCAATATATCAAAAAATGTTTGGACCATCACTTCCAGAACAAATATTTGTCTTTAAATATACCGATATTCAACAGATTAGCTTCAAACAAACTTTCTACAGAGAAAAGAGTGGATGGCTTGGAATAAAATGTGTGCTGCATTTCCCTCCTGTGAAGGATCCACTCTCTTCTCTTAGTTGTCTTTGCAGTAGAAGTTATTTGCAGTGTAGAGCATGTTTTTGCACTATGGTCTTTTTTTCTGGACAATAATGTACTGTACTTCCGTGCTGTGTCGACATAGAACCGAGCCTAAGTTATTTGTTTCTTCATAATCAGGCAACTGTAAGATTATAATATTAATTGTAATATTAATTAATTGTAATATTATACCAAATAGACAAGATGAACCTTCCTAAACAAATGTGAAAGCTTGGACCTGGTCAAATTTTCACCACAGGGAGGACAGGAACATGTCCAAACAAACTGTCATAACAAACTTCCCATTTGAGAGAGTATTCAGGACTAGAAGGAATCACATTAGAATGGATTACGGAAAGTTTCATCCATGTGGAGCAATATAAACATGTCCAAACATCTTTCTTACAAGGGTAACTTTATAAAGTTGTCATTATGCAAACACACACCCTATAGTGTGTATAATTGGATAGGAATATTGTGAGTGGAACATATATTCAACAAGCCATCACTGGGCCATCTCCTTAATAAATAGACCATACATTAATATGGTCTGTTATTGATTGTCAATGCACTTTACACTTTCACTTAAGTACATTTGTAGCATTTGTAAGAATCACAAAATTCCAAATAGAGATTCTCTCTGTTTGTAGAATGTCTACAAAGTTGTATTTCTGGAACCAATCTTCCACACGTTTTGTTATTGGCAGTACATTTCAAACATGTGTGAAACTTTACTATAATTGCTATTAATAATATCTGGCTTTTGAAAATGAGCCGTCATAAACATATGGAAAATCACTTTTTTTTTGCATTAATATGTGTTGCTGACTCCCCCCTGCTGGAGGCCAGTGTCTGCTGTTCCTGTTTGAATGATGAGAGCTCACCTTGAGGATCTCTGATGTGTCTCTTGTATCCTTGTTCTGCAGATGTTGTTAGGACGTCCCGCTCGCACCCCTCCTTATAAAGCCCCTGTCTGCCCCAGCATCCAATCAGCACGCAGCACCCTCTGAGCCAACAGCCAGTCAGGGCTGGTGTGGTAAAGTCCCGCTCCCGTGTGAGTCTGAGTGTGGCTAACTACAGCTGCCTATAAAGACAAGAAGAACACCACAACACTATGAACTGTGCAACTTAGGAACTGGAGGAGTCATATTCAGAAAGAATAAACCTCTTTCCTTTAATCCTCTGTGTTTCTTAACTCTGTTACAATATTGTTCCTCATCAGTGACCAACCTGGAGTTGTTTTTAGCTCCCTTCACACCCCCTGCTGCTCTATTACAGTCCTTCCACTTCTTCATGAGCACAGCTGGTTTTGCTTTTTAAAACAAAAGCGTTCTGTTTGATGTTGACTAAAAATAGTAGTGGCAATAGTAAGACATTACATCTTACTATTACCACCAGATGTTTATCCACATTCTAGAGCCTGAAATGAAACCTGAAGAGTAAATCTCATCATCAAGTTTAGGTACTAATAATAATGCATCACATTTCTTAACAACATTTGCCAATAAACTGACCATGTCTTGTTTTACAAAAAATTTGCAAATTCTCACTTATATTTGTTTTGTCCTTGAAGTTAAAACAGCTGTCCCTCTCTGAAATCTTGTTTTGAGAATTGAGAATCAAGTCACGATGAAAATCACCAAATGGAATAAAGAACTCTGTTTACCTTTAGATTGTTATAGGACCCTCTTTTTAATGTTCCAACAATGTCGCTCATCTGTCACACAGCAGCTGCATTAGCTCCATCCACATGGTATAATATCAGGAACTCCTGGTACAAACAGGTCCCCTCGCCTCTTATGCTGACGGATGTTTTTGTTTAGTTTATTATTGTTTGTCGCATACACATTACATGAAAGTCATATGTACCTCCAGCAGATGTTCAGTACAGTATTTCGAAAACACAATAAAACAGAATCAAACAGAAGCAGAGACAGAGTTAGGGACAGGTCCGGCGGCAGACAGCATTCCCATCGCCATCTTTTCTGTTCATAAACCAATAGTTTTTACACCCACTTTAGTTGTTCAATTACACGTTTTGGATTTAATGTAAATGTATATGTAAATTCAGCAGAATGTAAATTCCCACTTCTGTCTCAAGATGGCAGTGGGAGTAATTCCTTAATTTCTTATTTCAATGATCCTGCGTGGATAACCTTTCTACTTGATAACTTGTTTCAAATGTCAAAATAAATGTTTCCAGATCATTCTGGACAACACAAGGAGCTGAATGATTGCTCATCAAATTGTATTTTTTTCTTTCCACCTACACCTATAGCAGTTGTTTATTCCTGGTGGAATGGTTGGTTTCTATTAATTGTGACTGTCTGTGTACTGTGTTTCCTCCTGACCGTGTGACTGGTGCAGTCCTGTGACCCAGCATCACTGGTGTCTGGAAAACTCAGCTTAGCTCACGCAGACACAAGTACTATTCTTAACACAAGTACATGTAAAGTTATGAAGTAATTCCTGTTACTTTAAACCAGTATTCATGAACTTAGAACCAGTTAATTGAAGTGGACTTACATCCTGGATCTTGTCAAAGGCAAAAGTAAATAACACACTTTCACATGAACGTAGAAAGATGGATGTATACTGTATTTGTCTTTAAAGGTAAGGAGTAAAATATGTCATAAAAGGAATTATTAAAAGTAGGGATGCACCAATTCCACTTTTTTTAAAATCGCTACGAGTACCTTAATTTGAGTACTTGCTGACACCGAATACCAATAAGGCTGTGGTCACATGCACAGCCTAAAGCCCTGTTTAAGTGGGCCAGGGCCCACTTCGCAATTAGGTCTGGGCTTTATGTGCTATGTGACCACGGCAAGTGGGCTTGGGCACGATAGCCTCAACCACTTTTATATTCTCCGCTTGTGTTAAACCTTTCATATAAGCCCTCGGGCTGTGGTCGAGGGGCGCAGGGGGGTGTGTCGCTCCAGGGCCAAAGGGAAGCATTTCCTACGGGGATAACGCCCTCTGTTCTGACCCTCGCTCTCAGTGTGGTGCTATTGCAATAACACATTCAAGAATTAGTCTTTATTTAATCGCCAGAACACACACTTGTATCCTGTCTGTCTCCGGTTGCTCTGCTCGTACGCCACACTTTTCATTCTTTCACTTTCATTCATTCATTTCCCAGCGCTCTTACTCTCGTTACTAAAGAGAGTGTGTGTGTGTGTGTGTGTGTGTGCACTCGTGTCCGCGGCGCGCACACACACACAAAGACACACACAAACACACACTGCTGCACTTTGCATCAGAGCAATGTGGACAAGTGTGCGATGTGTCTCTCCCAACCCGATCCGTACTGAGCTGTTAGCTACAGTAGCAGAATGTAAACAGGAAAAGAAACGGAAACTCAACCAGAACAACGACGTAGTCGCTGGAGTTAGTGTTAGCGCCACCAGCTGGACCGAGCGTTGTACTACAGCACAGTTGCTCTTGCACGTTTGCGAATACACGTTCATGTGACCACGGGCCGTTTTCACACCCCTGTGGCGACGATCCGGGCCACTTGCCCCAGTTCGCTTGTAAAAACCTATGTGACCGTGCCCTATGAGTACTGCACATAGACTGTAAATATTACTGAATTGTGTTATCCCTTTGAATTCATTAAACTTATACAACTGAAATTTTAAATGTTTTATTTCTCCTTTTGACAATAAGAAAATGATTTAACAATTAAACATTTTAGCAATTCTTTTAACATTCAATGATAAGAGCCACTGTCATATTCCACTCAAATGCCATCTAGAAATAGCTCGGTTGCAAGCAAAGGTTACTCTGCGCGGTGGTGAGTTTTATTAAGTTACTGGTGTTATCCCTGTTTTTTTTGGACCCACCTCATGACTGTTTTGCATTAAAGTCGGCTATTTTCTTGTCACTCTCGTTTACTTACAAAAAACTGTCATACAGCCGATATCCTGTCCGCTTGCCACCAGCTTACTTGCTGCCAACTTTAGGAGATCTCCATGGCAACACGTGCCGCACAGCTGTCTGCTGTCATGGCGCTAAGGTAGATTAAAATGTGGGTACCGGTTGCCGGAATAAGGTCCCACGATTTCAGTACAAGTACGAGTACAAGCCTATGGTATCGACCTGATACCAGTATCGGTATTGGTGCATCCCTAATTGAAAGTAATATGTATATGAATAAAATTACAGTATTTATGGTACCACAAGGTTTTATATTTGGACTGATTCAGAACAAAGAACCCCTAAAGCTGATCAGGAAAGGTTGTCTTGTTACTGCTCTATTTTAAATAACGTTTTTTAAATTGTACGCTATTCCTGTTCCACTCAGAGGCTACACCACCTCTGCTGCAGTGACCTAAAGTGCTGTTGTACTTACTATTGGTAGCTATTTTTAGAATGATCTATCTATTTGTTTTGTTTGTATGAGTGCATGTGTTTCTGCTCCTACGGAGATCAATAAAGTATTTATCTATCTATGTAATGGCTAATCAGTGGCTGAATACGATACTTCAAGGGTCATGACTGACAGCAAGACAAAAAATGGTGATGATCCAGGACACTCAAATAATGCGTCCTACGGTATATTCTTTGTGTTTGAACTGTTTGATTCTCCGATCTGTGTTTGTGTGCCTGAGATAACTACTGTTACAATACAATACAATTGTAGCGCCTACAGCGCCTACAGGAGGGAGGTGGACCGGCTGGTGTCCTGGTGCAGTGGTAACAACCTGGAGCTGAACGCCCAGAAGACAGTGGAGATGATTGTGGACTTCAGGAAGAGCACTGTCCCCCCGCCCCCACCCTCCGTGATGGACTCCCCCATCACCTCTGTGGAGTCCTTCCGTTTCCTGGGCACCACCATCACCCAGGACCTCAAGTGGGAGCCGACCATCAGCTCCCTCATCAAGAAGGCCCAGCAGAGGATGTACTTCCTGCGGCAGCTCAGGAAAGCCAAGCTGCCTGCACAGATGTTGGTGCAGTTCTACACGGCCATCATCGAGTCCATCCTCACCTCCTCCATCACCGTGTGGTTCGCTGGAGCCACAGTCAGGGACAAACAGAGACTACAGCGCATTGTGCGCTCTGCAGAGGAAGTGATCGGCCGTAGCCTTCCATCGCTGCAGGACCTGTACGTCGCCCGAGCTCGAGGCCGGGCTGGTCGTATCACAGCCGACCCCTCTCACCCTGCACATGGACTATTCCAACCACTCCCCTCAGGCAGGAGGCTGCGGTCCATCAGGACTAGAACCTCCCGCCACAAGAACAGTTTCTTCCCCTCTGCTGTTGGACTCTTGAACACTTCTTAACCTGTCCCCCCGCCCTTTATAAAGTCACTTTACTGCCCATCATACGTCACTTTACTTTACTGTACTGCTGTCACCTTACATTGTGTGCACCATGTGCACTTGTATATTGTAAATAGTAACTGTAACTCTATTTTAAATTTATTCTTTAGAAGTGTTTTTTATTCTTATTTTTATTATCTCTTTTTGACTGTTGCACTGAGCCAAAGCAATTTCCAAGTCTGTGACCTCCTGTTACTTACGTTGGCAATAAAAATTATTCTGATTCTGATTCTGATACAATACAATTAATTCTTGTATAGCCCTAAGTCATAACAAAAGTCATCTCAGAGGCTGTGCATGTGACTGCAGCCTTATTGGTATTCGGTATCTGTTGTGATTTAAGGCTATAGAGGGTTTTCCGATGACGTCAGGCACTACCCACAATCCCGCAGTGCGCCATCTTGTAAGTCTAGCCGCCGATAGTTGTAGGTAAACAAAGTGTATCACATCACTTTGGTTTGCACTAAAACATGCCGACTGCCTGCTTCGTTTGGGGGTGCAGTAACCATGCAGATTGTGGGGACATTCCGAAGGTTATTACAAGCCAGGGGAGCGACACAGAGCGACTCTCGACGGAGAGAAGAACCCTTTAGTTGGCGAGGATCAACCGAGAAGGATTCAACCCTTCCCCTTGAAAAACAGCACTATAAGGCCTGTTCCGACCATTTCATAGCAGGTAAGAGCTAAATATGTGCATGTGTGGTTTATATTCAGAGCTGCGATTTGACTGTGACACCATGTAAATATGGGCCTCAAGCAAATGAACGAGAGGAGAAGGAGGGGGAAAAGGGTGGTAGACAAAAGCTTTAATGGTCGTTGGTCAGTGATTTACGGCCTTTGATATCGACTGCTTCGTTCAAAATAAACTAATGATTGAAAGAAATATTGCATCATATACGTTACACCTTTTTTTAATTGTAAAACTGTTAAGTGAAAGTAAGCCATTTCTGGCGAAGTCCACTGGTCTCGCC